GAAAACGAATTTTTCGCAAAACGCGTAATTCATTTTTATAAATATCAGACAAATTCTAACAAAACGATCACCGTAAATCATTTCCAAAACGAAGGATGACGACGGACATCTATCTATAGGATAATTAAAAGATACGAAGAAACAGGTAGTGATGAGTATCTCCCTCTTAGTGGCCGTAAGTGTCGGATTTCAACCGTACGAAATTGCAATAGAGTGAAAACACTGTTTGAGAATGATCCTCTCACATCTGTTCGTACGGTTTCTAAAAAACTGGGTATACCTCGATCCACTGTGTCGGACATTAAAATAAAGCGATGGGGAATAGTGGCACGAACCCAGAAAAAGGCACCAAAATATGTGAAGGATCAGGAAAGGCGAGCAAAAACTGGGCTTCGGAAAATTTACAAAAAAACTCGTGAAAGGGTGCTTGTTATCGATGATGAAACTTACGTCATCGTGGACACAAAAGAACAACCAGGACGTAAGTTTGTTCATTCCAATAAGCACGAAGAACTTCCATTTAACCAAAAATTTAAACAAATCACCAAATTTCCGAAGAAATATTTAGTATGGCAGGCGATAGACGAAAATGGTAACATTTCCAAACCCTATATTTCGGATCGAACTATGACTGCAGAAATTTATCTCAATGAATGTTTGAAGAAAAGATTGTTGCCTTTCATAGAAGAACATTACGCAAAAGACGAAATTTTGTTTTGGCCAGACCTGGCCACAGTCCATTATGCAAAGAAATGTGTCGAGTTTTTGTCACAAGAAAATTTGGATTTCGTGCTTAAAGCTGAAAATCCGCCCAATGTACCTCAAGCAAGGGGGATTGAGAAATTTTGGGCCCTTTGCAAACAAATGCAACAAAAAGTTTACGTTCTTTTAAATTAATTTGGGATAAAATTTCAAAAAATGTAGCGTCAGAGTTGGGAAAAGGAATAATGAACCATGCATACCGAAATATGCGAGAAATCGGTTACAATGGGATACAGCAAGGAATGTGCGATATCATGAAAAAAGGCACGTGCTGAGCTTTAAAAATATGTATAGCTTATACAGTTAAAGTTTTGATTTAATAAAGTTATGTTCAAATAAAACTTGTCTCTTTAATTTCCGGACAGGCTTTATTTTCTCGTAGATTGAATTTCTGCCTTTGTTTTTATGTGTCATGGGGATTTGTTAAGTCTATGGTGTAATTTTTATGAACTCATTTTGATTTAATCATTCGTTTGCATTAATGCATAGTTTAACACCGTTTAAATTCTTATTTGTTGTTTAAAGATCTTGCTTCAATGTGGCGCAACTAAAATTTGCTTGCACTGCAGATTCAGTAATTCCCTGAATCATCAGCAGTACTTCGGGACTACAAATTTCATGTTAAAACGGTCACCTGTATCAAGGGATGTCTATGCAGACATCAATCAATAATAAGAAAATGAACGAGTTGAAGTTTATCGGGTAATTGTAGAAATGTTAGTAGGGAGGATTTTAGCGCAAGTTATTTTGACACCTTTTTTTTCATTTTCGTTCTGACGTGACCTAATGACCAATAGTGCGTATGTGTTGTAGTACGACAACGTAACTCTGAAAACTGAGGGGAGTTCGATCGTCTTGATCAGAGCCATCGATGCCATAACCATGATCTATGATTTGGACTGCCGGTGTGATCTTTCGTTTATTTCAAATTCATTATTGAAAGCTGGAGAGGGTTTTGGGAGCTGGTTTCCAGATTTTCGCCCTCCCTCTCCAAAATGGAGGAATAAACAACTTGCATTCTGATTTAACAACACTTTTCCAAGCTTGGAATTCACTACTTTAGATTTGAACGCATTCCGCCATGAAAAAGTGTACATACATTCCATTTTTCGCGATTATAATTCACGGCCAAAAAATTTGAATTTTTCGCGGGTTTTAAAATTTTGTGCTTTTAGTGGGATCTTTTTGTTTATTTATTTACTGAGGTAATGTGCAATAGGTAAGTTGTCTTCAGTTATATTTTTATTCAAACAATTACAGTCATACATCATAGGGAAATTTGTTGAAAGCTCACAAAGTATTAAGTTATTAAAATAATTACAAGGTTAATCACAGGAATATTGCAACCCTCTTTTTATTAAGTTAAGCATTATTACATTATTTTTTAGTTACATACATATTTTATTCACGTCTCGAAATTCATAAAGAAATTAGTAGTTTTCTAGTGAATTCCAAATAGACACACGTTAAAGAATTTAGAAAAACTTTAAAGAAGATTGTGATAGGAAATCCACTTTATGGAGTGAATACGGAATTTTACATTTTGGCTACGAGTAGTTTATATAGAGTGTTCCAAAATTGATTCACATTGCTCGTTTACAATGCTTTTAAACTTATGCTAAATCATGTAGATATTATAATACAGCATGAAATTATTATTATTATTATTATTATTATTATATCACCAAGATCCTCCTCGGTTGTCGGTTATTGAATTTTTTTAATACATAATTGAATTTGAGATAAAAATCACACCTCTGCAAACATGTTTAGATCCTTAAATATTAATTACATCAGTATTTGCTTTCTCTACGCCAGCAAAACAGAATTTAAAACAGTTTCAATCAAAATTTTATTTCGACTGGTTATTTAGTTATTCAATTTAAACTTCAATTTAGATTATAACATATTGGTTATATTTTTCAATACCTAGACATTGTGACCGGATTCTGACATTTTTTGACATAAATTAGGGTTGAAGCCATGTACACAAAACGCAATGGTAATACTTAGTCTATATATTTTCTGGATTTGTAGATAAAAACTAATGTTTTCGAAAATAGTAATAAACCATTTCGTATTTATCATACACCTGAAAACCACAGATACAGCTGAAACAGAGACATTTAAACAGTGACGTCACATTTATCAGAACACTATTAACCCGACGTTTAAACCAATCCCAAACGAATTAAAACTGAAATGGTCCACTTTCTAAATGACTTACGCCATAGTTGGTCGAGATAACCCTTTTATAAGGCTAAAAACAAGTTTTCACAACACTCAGTCACGAATTATTTTAATACATATTTTAAAAGGAAGTAACAAGACCTGATCCTGGTCCATTTTATTACGTGGAAATTTCGACAAATCCTGCAGATAAATTTCAGACAGAACAACATCTAGTAAAAACATCTAAGAAAAAGCAATTCTACAAATTTGTTTCAATTCTAAATCGAAGTGATCAAACGTGCCAAAAAATTGACGAAATTTATTACAACTAATTTCAGAAATAAAGACTCCTTGCGTACATTTTGTTCATTTGACGCCTGTATTTTCCACGAGGCAAATGCGCGTCACTTGTGACGATTATTACTATGTATTATATGCGTTAAAATGAAACTCCAGGAAACGCAGCTGTCCTCAGTTTATTTGATATTCGATTAACAAATAAATGGAATTTCGGCAACATAATACCATCACAGTCACAGGCGTAACATGAAAAAGCGATCAGTGCAGATTTTCGGTAACACTGCCAAGGGTTTACAATTATATTTAATTTTTTAACACCAATTTCGGACATCTTTATTTGAAAAGTTGATTCAAGCTATCAACTGTGGTTTTAAAATTATATTTTTAAGAATGCTTTATAGTAATGATGAGTCCAAGAATACAAATTTTTAAACCAACTTAGCGATTAACCAATTAGGAAACCGTATTCAAAATTTGTATGGAACGGAAATGCAATCGACAAACTACAACGAATAAAAATTATGTTGAATTTAAAATAACATGGTATATCAGATGCATTTTCCTTGCGCAATTTTACAAATATTGACTTGTTAAATCAGTAGAAAACCTTGAAAAAAGGATATCCTTCCTCGAAGTATGAAACAAATAAAAAGCGATTTATTTATTACGTACTTACTAGAATTTATTTTACATGTAAAGTTTACCTGAAGTAAATTTATTTCTAAAAGTGGAAAAATTTAACAGTTCTTTTCTACGCGGAAGCGTGAAATCCCTTCTAGTAACGTCTGTAATACATTGCGGTGGCAGTTATGTTTGGCCATAATTTTCGTTTTTATGACCTTATCTCCATTTGAAACGCTTAATGCAACATAAAAGAACTCACACATGTAAGTAGATGAGGTAACAAGTAACATAAATGTAGCAGAATTTACATCAGCAAAAACCAAGACAACATTGCATTTAATCCACCACATAATGTTACGGATTCTTTCTTACCATCCCCTTGCTGGTATTTCTGATGACACTCTGATAACAATTTCACCGTTATTTAATAGGCGTAATTATTACTAACTATATGAGCGTATTGTGGTGGCTACCAGTCATATAGATAATTGCCATCCATATTTTTTACAGTACATCAAGTGAATTCCGAGTTGCCTATCTGCAATCATTTTTTCTTATTTTGAAATTCTCTGTGAAAATAATAAGATATGTAACTGCGAAATTAAAATACACAAACTCGACAAAATGGTAATTTATGAAATTTACGCTTAAAAAAATAAGAATGTATATAAACAAACTACGTACTAACGTAGTGAAGCAATCAATCATTCATCTTTTAATAACAGTAATAACAATAATGTTCCAAAGTAGTTATAAAAAAATTAATACAATTTAAATCAGACTAAAAATATTTAAAAGAAATAAAAGGTTCCATTGTCAAAACGTTCCGCTTTTTCATCCATGTCCGAATTCGTGCAGAAGAGGGACTTCGCTACCATAGAATCAGCGGCAACCAACTAAACATTACATTACTTACAAACAACTTAATGTTAGAAAAGTGGGTATAAAATTATATAATCATTAAAAGTCCATTAAAACGTGAATCCCTGTTTATATTTCGTAAAAGGTATCAAGGTGATAACTTTTATTGGTTGTAATCCCCAAAATTAGTTCAAAAAAATTCGACAACTGTTGAGATAACACTTATCACCTGTTATTGCTTGCGCTAATAACACCCGCAGCGTCGAAATAAAACAAACCAAGCGATTTAATATTTCTTTTTTAGAAAACTTTAATTTTTATTCAAATATAAACAACATACAATATATGATACGTTATCTTTATGTAATAATTATAGAATTTGATATAACCAAAACAATACGAGTTTTATAGCAATAAAGCAGAACACTCCTTATTAGGAAAAAATAAAAAAAGGAATGTGTGAACAAAATAGTGGAACAAAAATATATAAAAGATATCACCAAGATTAAAGTAATTCCCTCAAACTTTGAACCGACTTTTTCAGCAGATCTTGTTGTGTTCTTGCATGCTTTACTTCGAGTTCGGCCAATTCAATTAAACTAAAAAAAATGTGTATTTAGAATTTGCGGCAATTTTTAAATCAAACTACCTCTTCCTAAATGCATGCAGCCTTCGCGTTTTAAAATCTAGTAACTCTTCTTTCGCTTGTGCAGAAATTGCTTCAAATTGCTCACAAGCTTGAGACTGCGCTGCTTCTGCCTACAATTAAATATAATGGTTAATGTAAAAATACAGACTTCGATAAAAATGATAAAATAGCTAATTATTATTAATTGTGTGAAAATTATTAATAACATGCACATTCCCCTAATCTAGTGCTCAGTTATCAGTAATAAATAAATACCTCTTGTACTTCAGGCGCCTTTACCACGTAAGCATGTCATTAAAAATATACATTAATACAAAATACTGACTAAAATTCTTAATATGTTAGAAATGTAACCCAAATATATACAAATACAATTATATTACAGCGATAAAAATTATAAGCATAACATACCGCATGAATATCCTTATTTTTATGTCTGGCTTTCTCCAAGGTTCTATTGGCATTCTCATAATTCACCAAACATTTTAGTCGCCTAACTAGTAAAGCTCGTGCGGCCTGACTATCTCTCATGTAGTACCGTAGAGTATCGGCTAGTTTTAAATCTTGGTCACTAGCTACTCTACTTTCAATTTTCTACAAAAAAAAATAACAACTTTTTGGAGGAACATTTTACTTGGACCCACATAAAATTTTATTACTGGTAATGAATGGACTGACTATAAAGGACTGATAGTTTGTTTTAATTGCATTTTTAAATTACTGTTGCAATAAAACTGCATGTAGGTGTACAGTAAATTACTATTACATTAATTAACAGCAAATACATAAATCATTCTTACTCTTGCTCTTTCAAATGTATCAGATACTTTGGCCAAAAATTTATCCAATGGCCCAGGATCATTATTGGCAAGTTGTAGCACACCACCAGAGATCTTGATGTAACTGTCAGCTAGTTCTACATAAAAAAGAAAATAGATAATATGCAACAACCACAAAAATTATACCTTTGTGTTTTTCAGTCATTTTATCAGTTCGATGAGTAGCTTCTTTTAGTTGATTGTGATACTCAGTTAACGAATTCATTTGTTGTTCAAAAAAGTCATTTACATCTCGAACAGTGGCGTTAAGATAGTACTGATCAGTAGTGTTTCCAATTGATTTAACTAAACCACCAAGTTGTTGTAATTTTCCCTTGGGGCGAGCACATAGGTCTTGGTCGTACTCCAAAAAAACGTGTAAATGAGAATCTTCTCTAAATACAGAATGACTGGCAAGACGTGTAAGAAATACTTCATGCATTGCAACGGTTTTTTTAAAGGTTGCTAGATATTCACTAAAAACTACTTCTTAAAAGATGTTTTTGTTGATTTTTATTTCTTACGCTTCCAATTCTTGCTTCATTTTTGTAAATTCCTCTTTAGTCATCGTCCCTTCACCTTCTCCTAAACGTTGGAGTTTTTCACGTGAGGCATCAAAATTTGGACGGGGTGGTGGCGGCGGTATCTGCATCACACACAATGCACCTCGCATTCACCAACTTTATTAACACTTACAATATACCCTGCATACTTCGGATCCTCCTCATACCGATCATGTAACCATATAAATTCCTCGTGTTGCCGAACAACCAAGAATTCTGGTTTTTGAAAATTCTTCATGGTAGTGCGAGTATGTACAGTAAATTTAACTTTATCTTTTTCACTAAGAGCATCAGAAATATCAACAATTAATGTATTATCTATTAAAGGGACATTATTGCCCTCATCTTGGTTGGATTTGTCCGTCTGTAATGGATAATTATCCAATTAGAATCCTGCCCAAAACGATAAGAGGTTATTTTATACAACAAACGCCCCTCCTTGGAACGACGTTCTCACTTATAATTTAGATGTAAATTTAGTAATGACAACAACACATGATCGCTTACCATCTTCTACACAACAAAAAAGGGTTTAAATCATCAATTTTAACAAATAATCGGCATAAGAACAATCACAATCACTGCAATGATGGCGTGCTGTCAACTGTCATCACTCAAATAAACGTCATTTCGTGGCACAAGTTCTCCCAACATTATATAACTTCACACTTAATTTTGTTACAGTTAATTTTAATTAATGTTAAGTGCATCTTTTATACATAGACTAAACTATTAATAATAACGTCGATAATGATGTACCGTGTTGTTTATGTTCAATTAGTATGTAATTATTTTAATATATTCAGGCCACCTTGTTGGCTACTCTGCGTTTTCCGTTTGACAAGTGGGCGGATCTGTTGTCCCGTTTCCTAACCTCAATATGCAAACGAACTAGTTTTTAAACATTTATAAGCTAAAAATAAATCGACAATGACTTCCATGGTTGTTCGCGCGCTGCAGGAAATCTTCCAGCCTAACGAAGAACGACTCATAACATATTGCCATGTCAGTAAATACATGAAGAAAAAGAAAACCTCTTTCTTGTGTCTTGTCAGCACGACGAGCCCCCCGATCAATATAACAATCGTACAAGTGAAAGAAACCGATAAACACACTCATAAAAGAAAGCGCAGTTGGGCTCTAGCTGAACTCAAAAATGTGGACGGCTACAACGAATCCAGTGAGACACAAGAGTTCGATCTTCATTTTGACAAATTGTACCGTTGGGTGGCCACAAACGTGAAAGAACGCCACTCATTCATCCACCATCTGTGGAAGCAAGCGGTTAAACATATAATGAAGGATATGCCGACGTTCAAAAATGTGCCGTTGTCGTGGATCACCGAAGACGCCGTCACACCAGAAAACAAATTCGTGAGTTCGCCACTGCTTGGAGATAACGACTTGACTGAAGATTTTCAAGCGATCACGGATAAGGAACAAGAAGATTTGAAGAGGTTAATGTCTGGATGTGAGTTTGCAATTAGTAATGCTGAAGCTTTTATGGAGATATTAGCAAGAGACTTGTCTCTGTTGGATGGTGAAAATGTTCAATGTGTTCTGGCGTCTGAAGAGCAAGTGGAAATGTTAATGGGTCAGTTGAAGGTAGCGATTGATGAGGCTGATAGACTTGAGAAACAACTGGATTCGTATGATGAGATTCTTTGTCATGTTAGAGACACAATGGAGAAGATGGAAAAGAAGAACTCGATGATTTCTGTGGTGGATAAAAATAACCAGTTGTTGTTACGGGAGCTTGAAAATATTGTGGTGTGTTGAAATTGTGTTATTATTGTTTTGATAAATCGTAAATTGTAGACACGTTTGGACCTCCCCAGGAAATATCAAGAGACTTTAGAAGATGCCGATTTTACAACTCCACAAGGCCTAAAAGCGGCAGTGGAAGCTGGTAATGCGTTAAAAGTTGCAATGAATTCAGACATCGATAAAGCTTTGCTGCAAATGACCGCCGTTCAAGAACAGAGGCGTAGATTTGAAAAATATAAGGAAAAATTTTCGCGTAGTATTTGTAGGCAGTTGAATAATTTATTCATTCATTATGGTAATCATAAAGGCGAGTCTGATAAAACAGTGGAAGGGTTAATATTGCCTCAGCACAGTGGCGTTCATAAAGAATTAAATTCATATATAGACCTAATGCACTGGATTAAAGTAACACTAACAAATTTATTTACCATTTATAAAATTAAATTAAATTCACATTTTAGGTCATGGATAGAAAGTCCTATGATTCCTTAAAAAGTGTATACACTAATTCACTAGGAAAATTGTATGAACGAGATTTAAAAAATTTATTTGAGCTTGCAAAAACACGAATTGCGGCGCCTGGAATAGCAACGTCACCTACCACTCTTATTGGCCTAGATCGCGACATGTGGTCCCTAGAAACAAGTACACACGACAGGAAAACTTATAAAGTCACGTTAGAACAAGTATTGACACAACTTGAGCCCGTTTGTTTACAGGAACAACAATTTTGTGTTGCATTTTTCCAGGTTTAATAATTTCTTTGCGCTTAATCAAAGTACAAAAATTATTTTCAGCTTGATGTTTTGAGTCCAAGCTCCAAAAATACTTTAACAACTCTTGATGGCCCAGAAATTGATGTGAACGTCGTTTCACCACGTAAGGCGGAAAAACAAATTAATGAAGACGTGCGGAACATGATGAGTAATTTATTTTCATGTTTGAAGAGCGAATTAGATAGTTTGATTGATCATATCAAAAGACAAGATAGCTTGTGAGTTTAACAAATTGGATATTTATTCACTGACGTAAAACTCTAACTACCCTCTCGAAATTAACAACTATTTTTTTTATCACGTATGATATTTGTGATGGGCTAACTGTCACACTCATTGGATCAAATCATAACAGAAACAGTTAATTTTGTTAAAGTTAGTGATCCAAAGAGTGCATTTCATGGTTGGGATATAGCTACTTCATGGTCACGAGCGGGTAATGAAAGTTTTATGGCAGTTAAACCGTCCTTGAAAAAACTATACCTAATACCTAAAACTATTTTCAGTTACTGTATGTATGTGTTAGTATGCCTAAACCAACACGTAATGTCAGCACAGAGTACATTCTTAAGCAATACGTTCGCCTCTGTACTCATTGAAGTCAAACGTTCGCTAGATCAGTTTATGCAAATGCAAATAGACTCGGTCAAAGAATGTAAATTGTCAAGGAAATACAAGTGTGGGATTTTGCCGTATGTGTCCAATATTGAAGAATTCGCTCTAAATGCGGATTGTTTGCTGAAAAGTGATAGACGTGCAGATTTGGAAAAGTGGTACACTAGACTCGTTGATACTATTTTAGAATATATAGCGATGCACTCAAATGATCATCACAAAACGCCATCACAAGTTATAAAAATGGGTAAAACTTTAATATTTGTTGTTGTTATGTCTGTGTTTTTAATTTCAGAAAATTACCATCATCTGTATTCACTTTTGTCTCAGTTGAAAATATCAGTGCTGGACGCGCAGAGGAAAGAGGCTAAACAGAAGTATAACGATGCTTTGCAAGGATATGTTACTTTGTATTTTGGTCGTCCCTTGGAAAAACTAAATGTAAGGAGTTGTTTAGATTTTTTCTGCAATTATTCGTTTATCTCAGAGTAGCTATCATTTTTAATTAAAAATAATTTCAAGACTAGCGGATTTAAATGTTTAAATTGTTAATATTTTCTGATATAACCAGTAGTTAAACATTTTTAAGTATGGGGGAAATTATTAGGCCGAGGATACCAGGTACCCACATCATATTTACGCCCCGAGCGTCACCCATCGTAGTAGGGTTCATCCGACTAATGGCTACTTTCATGTTTTCTAACATTCTGTGACCCCTATAGTACGAAAAAATAGATCTCCCGTTTCCGTCTGTTTCTTTGTGGCGTCTATCATCTGTATCGATTTTTACTGGAGGGATAATCGCTAAAACTGTCGGACCGATTGTTGTCAAATTTCATACGTACTTAAGAAAATCATCTAAACGGTAAAACACTAACGAAAATTCGGCTAATCATTTCCCCCAACAATTTGATAACGTCACTCAAAATTTTGCATGGTCAAAACTATTTAAATTTTATAAAATAACACACTCCTGCATTTATTACTTATTAATGAGTTTTTACCCTAGACATCCAAATTTAGCACAGTTGGCATGGAAATTTTTCAAAAAATTAATTTTTACCCCGAATATTTCGAAAATCATGGTCCCACACCATCAATGGGCAATATTTTTCAATTCAGCACGTCGAGATCTGTCGCAGAATTTTTAGACAATTTTTTCGAAAGCTCTATTTTTCAATATGAAATTTCTACAATTTTTCGAGCACTTTCGAAAATACTGAAAGGCATATTTATGTAGATTTCAACCTCCAGAAGCTATTTTCGGTTTACTCTCTTCAACCTTGACAGTTTGTCCAAAGGCTCTATTTTTCAAAATGAATTTTTTTTCTCTTTTTTGACCACTTTTGAAAATTACCGAAAGAAGTTTTTTTGGATTTCTTGCAGAAGTTATTTTCAGCTTCATTTCTTGGGCAGTTCCTACCATTTTTCCAAAATCGCTAATTGAAATATGGCAATTTTTAAAATTATTAAAAGTTTGGACTTTGAAGCCTAATACATATTTCGAAAATCGTGGTACCAGACATTAAGTACGTTGCATTTTTCGAATCAGCACATCGAGATCTTTGCCTTTGAATTGTTTAAGTATTTTAAGACAACTTTTCCAAAAACTCAATTTTTCAATACTCTCCCTTATGGAAATTTTACCATTTTCCGAGCACCCTCGAAAATTACCAAAAGGCATTTTTGCGTAGATTTAAACTTCCAGGAATTATTTTTGGATTCATTTCTTCAAAAATTCCTACAGAGTTTCAAGAATCGCGAAAGGAATTATGGCAATTGTTAGAGTAAGGAAAAAACATTTTGAAATCGAATATTTCCAAAGCCTTGATCAGAGACTATCAACACGCTATATTTTTCGAATCTGCACGTCGAGACCTCTATCTCACAAATCTTTGTGGATTTTTAGACAATTTTCAAAAGCTCTGTTTTTCAATATGAAATTTTCCACCTTTTTCGACCACTTTAGAAAATTGCCGAAGAGTTTTTTTGTACATTTTGACCTCCAGAAGTTATTTTGGGCTTCACTTCACTTCAATTTTTCCAAAATCGCCAGTTGAATTATGGCAATTTTTAAAAAATTTATTTTGAAACCGAATATTTCGAAAATTTTGATTCGAGACCATCATCAACACGCTATATTTTTCGAATCAGTATGTCGAGATTTATATCGTAGAATTTTTTGTGGATTTTCAAACAATTTTTCCAAAAGTTCTGTTTTTTAATATAAAATTTTCGACCTTTTTTCGACCACTTTCAAAAATTGCCGAAACAGGCTTTTTGTCGATTTAAACCTCCGGGAGTTATTTTGGGCTTTATTTCTCAATTCTTAGACAATTCCTACAATTCTTACAAAAGTCGCCAATTGAATAAAATTATGGCAATTTTTAGAATTTTTTAAATTTGACTTTGAAAGCGAATATTTCGAAAATCTTGATCCGAAACTGTCAACGCGCTATATTTTTCGAATCAATACGCCTAGATGTTGTATTCCAGAATTGTTTGTAGATTATTAGGCAATTTTCCCAAATGCTCTGTTTTTCAATATGAAATTTTCGCCGCTTTTTCGACAACTTTCGAAAATTAGCGAAAGAGTTTTTTTTTATAGAATATATAGCGGAAGTGGAAGTTATTTCTTGACAATTCCTACAATTTTTCCAGAATCGCCAATTCAATTATGACAATTTTTAGAATCTTTAAAAAACAGGAAGTTGAAACTGAGTATTTCGAATAAGTTTAATTTTTTAATTTTAATAAAATAAGTATTTCGAATAATTTTGGTCCGGGACCATCAACACGCTATATTTTTCAAATCAATAAGTCGAGATCTAGAATTTTTTATGTACTTTTAGACAACTTTTCCAAAAGCTCAATTGTTCAATTCTCCCCACTTATGAAATTTTTGACATTTTTCGACCACCCTCAAAAATTACAACAAAATTAAAATTTTCGGCTTCATTTCTAATTCATTCATGCTCTCTCTAATAATATGACATCATTTTTTTAATACTATTGTATATAAGCGTAGAAAAAAGTTTAGAGTATTGCAGAATAATAGGAAATACGATAATTTTTTCGAAAATATAAAAGTTTTTTTTTGTTTCCGGCAAATAATGAAAATTTACACTGTACTATAATTTCAGACATTTTTTGAGGGAGTCCAAGCAAGAGTCGCAAGTGGTGTAAAAGCTTCAGAAGTTAGTTATCAGTTGGCATTTAGCAAACAGGAACTTCGCAAAGTGATAAACCAGTATCCTGGAAGCACGGTAACTATAAAAAGCTAGAAAAGTTACCATTGTAACATCAATTGATAGGTGAAAAAAGGATTAGAATCTTTGTACAAAAAAGTTGAAAAGCATTTATCAGAAGAAGGAAACTTACTACAAGTAGTGTGGAGAGCAATGCAAGAAGAATTTATTAGACAGTATAAAATGCTGGAAGATTTAATCCAACAATGTTACCCGGGATCAATGATTAACTTGGAGTTTACAATAGACGATATTTTACACTTCTTTTCAGATATCGCGAGGTCCCACTGAAGAAATTCTAACTAATTGTAAGTACGAAGTAATTCAATAAATAAATCAACTGTATTTATCATGTTGCTGCAATGCGCAAACAAAACCAGCATTGCACAATTTTTATTAAAAAAAATTAAATACAAAATGGTTACAACTTTTGTTGTTTACAATATTCCCACATCACAATGGCGCCTGCTACGTGGACATTTAGCGAACGGACCATACCGAATTGCGGTATCTCGACACATTTATCAAGCAGAGGAATTAAATTTGCCGGAATTCCCGCTTTCTCATTACTAAACAGAAAAATATACATAAAATAAATAAAAAACTAAACGTATCACCTACCCTAATACAAGAACTGTCAATTTCGGAAACTCAAACTGCTCCAACTTCACACTTTCGGCGGTTTGTTCGGCCCCTACAACGCAATACCCTTCTTTTTTAACACCGACGATAAACTCTTGCAAATCTTCAACTTTCACGTCCGATATATCCACCCAATTTTCCGACGACATGCTCAAACTTTTGAATTCTTTCTCTAGTGTGATTTTCGAAGTTCGCATTATCATTTTTTTGATACCAAAGACTTCACACGTGCGTGCTAATCCTCCTAAGTTGGCAGGTTTTTCGATAAGGGACGTTACTAGAATGAAGTCATTTGTCTGAGTACTGGGTTCAGGATTATCCAGTAGGTCTTTCCAAGGGGTGACTTTCTTTTGGATATTTTCATTGCACCTATTAACAGCTCTATTTTTTAAAGTAGTAGTTTCTGTCTTTACATTATCACAGTGGTCGAATTGGACGTATTTGAAATTATGACGATTGGAAGCTGCCCACAAATTTTCCCATTCGATTTCAGTGACTCCGTTACTTTTCGGGATTTTGTAGAAAACAGTGGAACAATCAGAATTTTCCAGGCTGAAATAGTCGAGGAATTCGTGATGAATGTTAGTAACGTCAAAGTTCGCGTTGGCTGTAGCTTCGATTATTTGTTTGAGAGAAGTGTGAAGAAATTGATATTTTTGTAAAAACTCGGACTTCTGTGCTGTTATGGCTTTGTCATGGAGTTTCAGGAGGGCCACCTGGAAGTCCCGTGAAGTAGTTCAAATGGTAGTAAATAAATCTTACCTGAGAAAATACGCGTAGTCTAAATTGCGCCCCCATTGTGTAAGGTAACAGAACTTCTATAAGTCGATCCCAATGAGTTTCTTTTTGGGACACTATTAAATGATAAAGGACGGGTATAAGTCCGGAGACCGCTGAAGGTCTATTATTATCGATTGTTTTTAATTTTTCTTCTATATTTTGGATGTAAGTGTGGTCATTGTTTATTAATAATATTAATAACCACTGCATTAAATGCTTAACAGAGGGTTGATGGGTTTCTGATATGAAACTGTCAACCAAAAGTTCGATTAATGTGGATTTTTCTTCCGTCACGTGTTTCTGAAGCAACATTAACGTCTGCAGGATTCTCAATTTTTCTAAATGAATCTAAAAATAAACAACGTCGACTAGTGAAAAACAAAAGAATTTTTGTTCACCTGTGAATCTGGGAAATATCGTTTGGAAAAATGCTTCATGTACCTTTCTACTAAATCCGACACAAAGTTCCCTACTGTATTATTTCTAGAACTCGGCGATTCTTCATTTATTAAAAACAGAACTGATTCAAGAGCCCACAATCTTGTAGAAATTTCTTCTAAATTAGGACTAAAAGATTTATAAATATTTTTATGAAAAATACATCAACTCACTTGTTTTCAGTTGGTAATGTGACTCCTATTTCTTGACAGACGTAGTAGTCGACTCTAAATTACGTATGAATTAAACTATGCATATTTTCAAAAATCCACTTACCTTTCGCTTTTATTCACTACAATTCCATGCAGAATTAATTCAACAATAACAGAAACAAATACACGACCTGTTTCAGGTTTTTGTTTAACTAAATGAGTAAGTTTTTCAGACAAAATATACGCAATCGAATTTGCACTATTTGAAATATCCAACAATTTCCACGAAAACTGAAGTAATATTTCACAAAAATCATTATTTTCTAGCAAATGTGGCTCAAATATTTGTGACAAAAATTTCGTTGTTGTGGTTCTACAATTATCACTTTTAATTAAAATTACAAATTCATCAAAACATCTCTCCATAAATCGAAGCACTGTGTTCTGCTGAACGTGTTTTAAAATTAAGTCCAGATTTTCGAGGATTGTGATTGTTACACTATTCTGGGAGTCTAGCGCGTTTTCTAAAATACCAACTGACTCTTCTAGATCTACTATTGAACAAGACTCACTTAAGGACTTGATCAGATTTTTCACAAAAAAGTTTACTATTCGTTCGTTTTTAACATCAAACGTTTGAACATATTTCTTGTAAAATTGTACAAACTGATCGGTTTGAATATTATTTATACTAAGTACTCCAAAAGCAAGAATTTTTTGAGCGTCATTGTGCGACGATTCTTCAATTAAAATATTAGACGCCTTTTCTAGTAGCTTCTGTGAAGAAAATTTTTCAGTTAAATGTAGTAAAGTTGCAACGTGTTCAATGTTTTCAACGAAATCAAATTTACTTATTAAATGATTTTCTAAGTCAGTGCTTTCAAAATAATCTTCAAGCATCAACAGCTGCTCTGAGTTAGTTGTGTTACTTTGGAGCATGATTTTAAAGTCTAAGTCTACGTGTATTAACTGAAGAATTTTTAAACCTACTGTGAAACGTTCCAAGTCTTCACTGTCACTATTTTCTACAAAATCAAAAATCTGTTTGTGTAATTCATCGCTCAATAAGTGAATTTGTTCTTCATTCATTTTTATAAAATTTTCGAATAAATTATCATCACTGTTTCGTAAAAGTAGAGACATTTTGAGAAGATCGTTTAAAGAATCAACTTTCCAATTTCTTGTGCAGTAATTTAACACCACTCTAATGCAGCCACCTCTAATAAATTTATGAGGGATAAGTTTAAGTTTTTTAATTACGTTTTCAAGAAGCAATAGCGGAATTTCAAAATTAGTGGCTTTGTTAAAAACGTTGCTATAAAGCCCCCAGATGGCGGCAGGAACCCATGATACGTTTAAACTCTCAGAAAGGAGAATATTAAAATGAGAGTTGTCTAATTTGTTACAAAAAACACCCATTTCTTGAAAAACATTTTTAGAGTCAGCGTTATACTCGTTTTTATTAATCGCCGAAAATAACACCACAATGATTTTTGAAAAATTATGCCAGTCAGTTTCATTTTGCAAAATAAACGTAGCTACATTATAAACAACAACGTTTTGCGAGTGATTTAAAAAAATTGTGTATAGACAAGACCTCCACAAGAAGTCTAAATTTTTCACTGAGCTGAACATAGATAATGATGGTTCAACGATATGTAACTGCTTTTCGTTGGACACATCTAAAAGAATAAAATAATTTTTCCACATCTTTTTCATGTCATTAGCTCCTGTTTGCAGGTGTTGTGGAAGACATGACAAGTTATCACTATTCAGAATAATGTCCATACTTTTACCCAACAAATACATCGCTTGTCTTTGTAAATAGTGGCGTTTGTCGACTATGCAATCCGTTATAAGAAACCAAAAATCGTCACATTTTAATAAATTAAAGTCATCTCTATCAAACTCAGGTTGAATAAATTGATCCAAGCACATGCAAAGTACTTCCAACTTTTTTTCCGTTTTAATAAAGTCAAACGTTTTTGATAAGAAGCAGTTTTTGCTTTCTTGATCACACACGCATGTGTAATTTGGAAAAACATTAACTATAATAAATGTAATGAGAGGTTTTACTGATCCTTGCAAAACCTTTAAAACCCCCCCTTGAAACTGATCAAAATCGTCCCCCGTGAAAAGAAGGGGTTTATGTTCACGTTTGTAATGTTCTAAAATTACGTTGAATAAATTTATGGCGTAGTAAACTTCGTCCGAATTTCGACCTAACCATAGTTTGTCAACACAGTAGGTCACAGTTTGTGTTATCAGTGTATTTGTATCTGCATTTATTAATAAAGCTGTCTTAAGGATGTCGTTACTCAAATCCACGTTTATGCTACTGTTGAAAATACAGTCAACAGAAAAGTGTATTTTCTCACATGAGCCTTCCAAGAGTCTTCGATGTTTGAGCTTGATTAAAGGGTTGAAAGCTTGAGGACACGAACACGTTTGTATCAAATTATCCAAAGCGTCGTTCGATAGTACGTAATCTAGTATAGAACACGATGATTCCATTGTAATAATAGTAACAATCAATAAAGCTTATCCAGAAATCAGCACACACAAAATATACAACAAAAGTTAGGTTAGAGAGTTGGACCTACACGTCAGATGCAGTTTGACCTACCTTGTACAAACTTCTGGGTCTACTTTCATTTACATTCACAAAAAATTGCTCAATACAAAATACGCTAATTTGAAAACATTATAAATTTTATGGAATAAAAAAAAAGCAAACTTCCAAGATGACGATTTATTTGATTTTAATTTGAATAATATTACAAACACTGTGTTGGTAGATACAATGCTAACTACGACGTTACCCCCACTCCTGTGTCCTACCTCAATTTTTTCTCGAAAGTCCTCAAAGTTGTTTTTTTTGTGCCGATTTTGTGATTTTGTAGTGCTGTCTGTTGTGAATGTAAACGTACCAATTTTACAGAAACAAATACGTGAGTTGCAATTTTTCAATACTTTCATTTTTATGCTCAGTTATTTATTAAATCATTGAACTGACAATTTTAGGTTATCTTTTGTATGTAACTTTTTCACTTACAATAGCAAAAAATACGTTTTATCATTAAAACTTACACTAACTGACACAATTAGTACGTTCAAAGCGTGCGTTTATGCCATATTTCGAAAATAGATATTTCTGGGGATTCCCCTCCTTATTGCTGACGTGTAAAAAATTGCGTCATATTCGTGCTGTTGCATGTTTTTATCTTGATTTCAAATTCTAGTGTATCCACAAGTTCGTGTATCTATCTCTACGTATTTCGTCGTTTCTAGTGACTTAAATAATGGATGATGAAGAAGAAAAGTTGATCCCTAGAAACTATCAGATGGAACTGATGAAAATCGCCATCAGCCAGAATACAATCATTTACTTGCCTACAGGATCTGGTAAAACGTTTATAGCAATAATGGTGTTGAAACATTTAAGTGATAGTTTATCGAAGTAAGTTGTTACATTTTTAATGAAGCTGTTACTATTGCTTATGTTTTTAGACCCTACAACGAAGGTGGAAAGATTTCTTGCATTCTAGTAAATTCTGTAACTCTGGTTGATCAACATGCCAAATATGTTCGTGATCATACGATTTTCACAGTAGGGGCTTATTCAGGGGAAATGAATTTAGACTTTTGGAAGAAAGAGGAGTGGTCGGAGCAGTTTAATAAACACCAAGTTGTTATTATGACTTCCCAGATTTTGGTTAATCTTATTAATAATAGCTTTATTGGTAAGTTACTCAGCTAATTGATTTTTGCTATCATTGTGTAAATAGTGGTAGATAATAATGCTATTATTGATTGTTCTTTTTGTGATAACAAGATAACAATATGGACAATCATTGATTTGGGTTTAACCCGTTTATAGGGACTTTACTTACAATGTAGAGTCTGAAGAATTCAAGATGGTTATAAAATTTATTGACTCATTCATATAAGTATCACATTATTAATAGAATTTGTACAACGAAATTTTATTATTTGTATAAATTTTGGAGAGTCAGCCTTTATAATGTGTCTCAGACACTGGACCAGATTGTGCTTTAGTGGCGAAGGAAGTTGTGTTTAAATAACTATACGACTTTTTTTAACTGTGTCAAGATTTGTACAAAACTTGTACTATTCAACAAAAACAAAAATGGCCTAAAATTATTTCAACAGAATTTTCCTCGCCCCTGAAGTAAATAAATCAACGCCGATTCAAACTAGTGAAAATATAAAAAAGAGTCGTGAAGAATAATAAATGAGAATTGAACTTACAAAAACAAAATACAATTTACAGTGTTTACAAAATTTTAAAACGCACCAAAAAATTCAAATACGTTCAAATGCAAAGTGGTGAACCCCAAGGTTGAAAAAGTGTCCTTAAATTAAAATGTAAAATATGGAAGAAAAGTTGGTTATTCCACTCCAGTTTCCAAAAATAAAATTAAATGTGCAACTGGTTACAAATATTTGAATACCATAAATCTAAACACACACAAAAAAGAAAAATCTTAAATTAACTGAATGGATGGTAATACTGAAGTTATTACAATGGTGTGGCGGCAAATTTAAACATGAACAAAAACCCAAATACTGTATGAGGAGTTCAAATCATAAATCGCGGTCAAGGGATCGATTGCTCTGATCAAGGCGATCGAGTTCTCCTCAGTTTTCAGCGTTACGTTACTCACCCTCGCGGGCCAAGGGCTGTTAGCTGCTCATTCCACAAAGAAGTGGGTACCCCAGGTAAATTTACTTGAAATTGCAATTTACTGATGAACTCCAAACTATTCAAAAGTTAAGAACAAATGAGCAAACTATCCCATATCCCTTATACAGATGATTAATCTGAAATTTACACTCTCAAAATTCTGACAATAATAAATGAATATCGTGGACTCGAAAAATTCACACACCACTTAAATCAAAGCACATATGAAATAATCACAGCAAGGTTCATATTAAATGCGATCAAAATCAAAATAATAATTCAAAGTCAAGCTGTGAGAAAATAATTCAGTTGTAAGAAATAACACATTAATATAGGGTTATTATAAATTATAAATGTCTCTTATATGCTAGGTGGGTTCATAAACGTTTAGATCTATGTATTTGTCGTTTTCCACTTTTGTTTAAGCCACCTACACTGTAAGAAACATTTATAATGACCCTGTACAAGACAACGTAAACATTAAATACACCTCCCATTTCGAGTCCACGATGATATTAATTTAACTGATGATAATTTCCAGAGTCTTTTCTCTCAAAATGCATCAACATATAAGATTAGTTTAAGTGCCGTAAATGAACTATTTTAAATCTCTAGTGAAAAGTTATAAAGTTTGGATAATGTAGTAATTTAAGTGAACGCCTCCAGAACTTTTAGATATCAGTGATATGAAAAAACGAAGTTGAACGTGAATAAATGAATTTGCGTCACGTGTTTTTATATAAATAAAAAAAAATAATTGAAAGAAATTTATTGATAAAAAACATAAAAAGATGAAAATAATTAATTAAACTGAGTTCCAGTCTATGGGATGGCATCTTCGGTAATCAAAATTTCTACATCAATTGATTTTTTGAAGGACACAATGTACTTTAGGACACTGAAAAATTTTAAGCAACTCTATAATTTTAATCATATGTTTATCTTTATAAATTTATAGATATTATTTTAAACCTCTGAAAAGAACTGATTTTTAAAACTTGTAAAATAAATAGTGAAACAAAAAATTCATAGAGCGCTAGTGAAACACAAAACGAAATACAGCAGACGCCACTGAGGGATTGCTTCCCCTCCTTTTTGAAAATGGACTCGTCCTGTCTCAATTTCGTTCGTCGCGCACTTTTATTGGTGTGCTATACTTACAGCGGCCAAAGTCTAATTACACTCATTGGAGAAGACTGTGGCATCGAATGCGATTCATTTTGACTTTTTGAACAAGTTTTGTAATAGGGTCCATCTAGGAAACGCGTTAAATAAAACACAACTGTCCTTAAAATCCGTGTATTAAAACTTTCGATGTGTTCGTTTTAAAAGCTTGTTACGAACTAACTTTAAAGATCACAAAATACGCATATATAAAATTCAAACTGAAGTACTTTGCGTTTCTCGGGCGTTTTACACTTATCGCCCTTTATAAACAAATACTCATCAGTAAAATAAACAGAGAATGTATGGGATATAGTCGTAATAATTCTTGTCTTAATTAACTATATGGAATTACAACAGTTCATCCGTCGAACGGCTACTTTCATGTTCGTACATTTCATAACCCCCAGAGTCTGTCTTCTGTCTGTCTGCCGTCTGTGTAAATTTATTAGAGAGATAATCACCAAAACTACTGGATTAATGATTCTCAAATATTTTAGGAATATCGTGTAGATCGTAAAACGCGAATTAAAATTCATTCGTTCAACCCCCTCTAATAATTTGATGAGGTCACCTCAACATTTTGCATGGTAAATGCTAGTTCAATTTTATAAAATTAGATACTACTATATGGTATATGAACTCGCCTTGTTTTGTTACCCTAGACATTACATTTAAAAAAAAAAATCAAAATTGTACAACATTTTACAATAATATAAGAACACCCGTAAGCAACGGCCGAAAGTCGACTCCCGAGTGTATTTTTCTTACACGATAACTGGTATTATGTTTTTTTTTTACTTCCTGAACGTAAGCAAAGGAAGTATTGTAATGAAGTCCGTCGACCGACTCTCTACTTTTACGTTTTCTCGACCTTTCATTACCCTGGTCCTAAAATACGAAGAAATAGATCTTCCGTTTCCGTGTGTCTGTCTGTCCGTCTGTCTGCCGTCTGAGATTTGTATTAGATAGATAATCTCCGAAAATACTGGGCCGATTGTTGTCAAATTTTGTCCTTATATTAGGAATATCATGTAGATGGCAAAATTTGTCTAATCATCCTCACCAATAATGTGATGACGTCACTTCAAAAGTGTAGATAGTAAATGGATTTTAAATTGTGTAAAAGAACATAGTCCTACACATGTAGTGTATGATGCCGTGTTGAGTTTTTACCGGAAACCAAGTCCAGTCCTTTTTCGTCCTTCCTCCTGTTTCGTCCTTTTCGTATTTTTCGTCCATCGTCCTTTTTCGTCCTTCGTCCTTATTCGTCCTTCGTCCTTATTCGTCCTTCGTCCTTCGTCTTTTTCGTCCTTCGTCCTTTTCCCTTCTTGTCCGTTTTCGTCCAGATTGTTGGAAAAAAAATCAAAATTATAAAACAACATCTGCAAAACTGAATGCTTTGAAATCTTGCAGATGTCTTAAAATTATGATAAGCATAATAAATTTTTAATCAAAATGTGTTTACTTATCCCCGCCAAAAACTGGATGACGACAGCTCAAAATTTTGCCGAATAAATCCTATCTAAATTGTACAAAATATAATGAGTCTATACTTGTGATTTATCATTCCATTCATATTTTTTTGAATTTGCTTATTGTATAAGTGACTCAAAAAAATTAATGAATGCGTCAATATATTTTATTGATTTAATCAGGAACTACAACACCGAATGCTTTGAAATCTTGCAGACGTTTTGAACTTATTGTAAGCATGGTAACTTTTTAATCAAAATGTATGTGTTTATCAACCCCAAAAAAACTGATTACGTCATCTCAAAATTTTGCCGAATAAATCCTTTCCAAAATGTGCAAAATATGAGCAGACTATACTTGTAATTTATCATTGCATTAACATTTTTCAGATTTGCTTATACAGGTGACTCAAAAAAATTAATGAATCAGTGAATTTATTAATGATCAAATTTTCTCGAAATTGTGAGAACACGCTCGCCTTTATGGCAATAAAATAATGATAAGCTAAGAATTATAATAATAACATTCAGAATATTTTGTTCAATTGAGGTTTATGAATAATTTTAGTCATCTGTTTTGAAGCGATAAACTCATTCAAATTAAACAAATGTCTGCGTGACATTCTTCCGATGTATAAACATAAATGATCGTCTATCAAATGGGACCCTACGTTGTGTTTTTTTTTTAAGTGTCGGGAAGACACTAGATACAAGTGCATACACTGCGTGTGAGTCGAGAGCGCAAGAAATAATAGACAAAAATTAGGGAGGGGATGCTATCCCCTAGGGCTATATTCACAGATATATTACATTTCAAACACCTTAAAATATATGAAAAAAACACTCACGAATTGACAGACATACACATGTGAAAAACGAACAAACACAAAATTCTATACATCTGTTTGGAATCAAAGCAAATATTTGAATATCACAAATTTAATAAAAACAAAGCAAAAGCTGAATTAAGTAACTGGATGCCAATACACAAGTTATTACGGGCGTGTGGCGTGAGATTTTTAAAGTTACGGCAGTTAACAGGAGCACAACAAAAGTACCCCTGGGGCATGGTAGAAGGAGACATGGTATAGGCATCCGATGTACCAATTTAAAAATGGTCTGCGCATCCATTTGTGACGTTAGGTGGCATCAACGACCTTGTGACTCTTGTGAGCTTCGCTAGGGAAGTCTAGGGAATTTCAGCTTGAGTTGTCAGTGCTCTGTCCAATACGTCAATTAGTTGTCGGATAACGAACTGTATTTTAAATTTCGCGCTAATTTCACCCCACTTGACGTCACACCCGATGCGTATGCCTATACCATGTCTCCTTCTACCATGCCCCTGGGGCGTGCTAGCACAAGTGGAGTTTGGGACTACCGGTCTGGAGCTGTTCTCCCCCCACGACAGTGATTCTATCTATCGCAAAGCACCCCCATTACGATCATGTTGTGCGAAACTAGGTCATTACGGTCGCCAGACCCGTAGGTGGATCTCGACTTTTACAGGTGACTCGAAAAATCTCGCCAGCTCAACTAGGAACCGAACTTCGCTTCTGGCACGTTTTGTGTGTTATTTCACCTCAATTCCATTTTTAAATATTCAATCTCTTATAACTCTGATATTAACAACAACTGAACAAGTGTTAAAGTTTCAACGAGCAATAAACAACATTTAAATTCGCCATACAATCTTGTGAAATTTTAAACAACAAATAATCTTATGTGAGATAAAAATTGGACATCAAACAATTTATATGATAGAAACATTCATCAACAAAGTATTTACAAAACAAAACTTAGCGAGGATTTATGAAACAAAAGATCTGGTGTGAAATAAACTTGTACAAATAGAAATATTATGTGAGGTGAAACTGTAGAACATGAAATTTACGTTCAATTAAAATTATACAACAAAGGAAAATTACTGAAGTTAAAACTGTGAGATTGAGAAATATTGTATAAGGTGAAATTTTGCAGAGTTAACAAAATTTACATGAGATTAATATTCGCCACACTTTATCAACAATTCAAACAAAGAGTTTACATTATGTCAAATTATATCATGGTCTAAGTGATTGGTTACTCCAAAAGAACAATTTACTTTGAGTGTTTAAAATACCGCGAACTGGTTACCCCTACAAAACACATAATAAACAAACACAAAAATATCCAATCATCGCTCCGAGGGAAAAAGCCTCTCGGTGATGTAAATTTTAAAATCGTTGCGAGGAAAAAGCGTCTCGGTGATGTAAATTTTAAGTCGTTGCGAGGAAAAAGCGTCTCGGTGATGTAATTCATCTCTAGCGTCGCGAGGACGAACCTCGATGAAGTAATCAATCTGTAGCGTTGTAAGGGCATTAATTAATCAATCTGTAGCGTTGTGAGGGCAGGCCTCGATGCATTAATCAAGATAACGACGATAATAACGATGATAACCGCCTAAGGAAAGAAATTATTATAACCCCGTCCCGCCAGTTCGCTGTATAATGAACTTGTTAACTGCCGTAAATGAACTATTAGCAATCTTGTGTGAAGAATTTAGAAGTGTTATAATGTAACACTTACGTATATGCATCCAGAAACCTATTCGTAATTAAACAACAAGGTGTTTTCCTAACTAAGTGAATTTCATGAAATCTTCTAGCACGTGGTTTATTTAAATAATCCTGATTGTTAAATTGTGTTTGCGCTAGCTGACGATTAAGAAAAACTAATTTGATTGGTGAATTTACAAACAATGAAACAAATTTACAGCACGTGTTTCGCGTTGAACGGAAGTCCGCATTTTTCTGATTAAAAGGTCGCAAGAATTAACCTCCCATTTTATTAACTACCAAACCAACTAATTTAAACCTAGCTTTTACCACGTGGTTACACTCACACAAGCACATTCAGACTGACACTGCGCCATGCCGCCCTTTTGTCTAACCACCAACCCTCTAACTAAAAACCCCTAGCGCTAAATTGTCCAACTACCAAGCAAGCGTGTCCGTGCACCAGGTTGCCTATGTTTAACGATTTTCTTTTTGTGATTGATTTTTTTTTGTTTGAAAATTCAAATTATTCAAATGTGATTTCGCGCCGCTGTTAATTAATTTGAGCGCGAAAATTTTTATTCAAATTCGGTCACCACAACATTTATAAAAGAACGTCTCATTCTCTATTTCTGTTCCCAGCAGATACAGAGGAATTATATGAAACACTAAAGTCCATAGCTAAAAACTAAAAAGTCATCTTCTGGTTACAATATTTCGTATAATTTGCCATGTAGTTTAGCAAAACACATTGTTAATTTAATTAATTCATCATAGAATATGAATACTTTTCTGAACAATTAAAAATATTTCGAAACACCAATATATAAAAAAAGAGAAAAATCTATTTGAAAACTATAGACCAATTTCACTGTTATCCATTTTGTCAAAATTATATGAAAATATCTAGATATAATTATATCAAAACAGACTCCTAGAATACGTAAATAACTATCAAAAGATCTGAACAGCATTATGTATGGCATTGGCAATTCAAAATCCCTGGTCATTAATGTTTTATTATTAATAATGATGCTCGGTTTTGCTTACAAATTTAAGAGCATTCGGTTTTGCAGTTTCTAAACTAAATTATAAAAGTTTATATAGTTTTGATTTTTTTCCCAAACATGTGGATGTCAAAGGTAAAAAATAAAGGCGGATTCGTAAACCACAGATATAGTGAAGTATGTTATTTGATAAATTTTAGTTAGCGTTTACATACATCTAAAATTTCACATCACTTCATTAAAAAAGTTACATTTCTTAATTAAAATTTTAGATTTAAGAAAAATTAATCTCCTCATTTTCGATGAGTGCCATCAAGGCGTTGAAGATCAGCCGATGCGACAAGTAATGAAGAATTTTCAGAATTACGGAGAACAACCTAGAATACTCGGTTTAACAGCGACATTGTTAAACGGCAATTGTAAACTAAGTAAAGTAATGGAAGAAGTTAAAAGTCTTGAGACAACTTATCACAGTAAAGTAGCAACAGTTGATGGTTTAGATGAAGTTGTAGGGTATGGAAATGTTGTTACTTCGAAAACTAACTATACAATAACACACGTTGCAGGTATTCAACCAACCCACAAGAACTTTTTAAAATTTGCAAAGCCAGTGATCCATCTGGCGTCGATAATCTTGTAATCGCCCGTCTAGAAAGACTGATAAAGACTTTACAAGCTGTGAAAGTGGAAGACTGTAGCAATAATGTTAATTTGTTATCAGACAATTTAAAACCTTTAGAACCGATCGATGTATTAAAGAGGTTACGAAATTTAATTTCGGATTTAGTTATCCATATAAAGATGTTGGGAACGTTTGGTGGTTACAAAGCTTGCTTATCCTACATGATACAAGTAGAGCGGATAAAAAAGCATTGTCAAGATACAGTGATTTTCATAGTTCTAAATAATGTGATGACAGTAATAGGTTGGGCGAAAACGGTGTTCAAAAACGCCATGAAAAACTCTAGTAAGATCGACATGTTGAGAATATTTTCATCAGACAAAGTTATTAAGTTATTTGAAATATTGCATGAGTACAAGAGCAAATCAGAAGAAGAACTTTGCTGTTTAATTTTTGTGAAAAGAAGATTCACGGCTAAAATCATCCACCATATTTTGCAACACCTGAGAGAGGCAGATCAAAGTTTTAATCATTTAGTGTCGAACTTCGTTGTGGGAAACAATAACAACCCGTATAATGATTCACGCGAAAGTTTGTTCATTTCAAAGAAGAACAGAGAAGTTCTTAACAGTTTCGTTAACAAGGAAATTAATGTACTAGTCAGTTCAAACGTTTTGGAAGAAGGTGTTGACATCCCGAAGTGCACGTTAGTTATAAAGTTCGATAAATCCGAAGATTACCGATCCTATATTCAGTCGAAAGGGAGGGCCAGACATAAAAAAAGTTTGTACTACACCATCCTGGAACAGGATATCGTTATAAAGTTTCGTGAGAAGTACAACGAATTCGTTCAGATCGAAAAGATTCTCAATGAGGTGAGTAGTTGGATGTTGAAGGTTTTAAAAATATTATTTATAAAATAATAGTATTAAAAATGTATTTGTGGTAAAAACTAGAACTCACACGTTTAATAAACTATTTTTTCTACAATCGATATAGAAAGTAGGCATTTGACTCTTGGACTTGACAACGCAAAAGTCAAGTTTTCCGAGGAACGTCACTTTGTCGCTCACGCGCGACAAAATGTACAAAACGCTCGCTACACCAATTAATCAAATATTCACTGGCCAGTTCATTCCATAGCAACAGGTAAACAAGCTTTGGTTTATACAAATTTTTGAGTTAATAAAATTATTTTTTTTGTAAAAGTGGGACGTTTTTAATTATTGTGCAACTGTCTTGATTGTAGAAAAAATCTTGTGTGTATTACGAGCGCAAATTCATTGTCGATTTCGAGAGATTGCAGCGCTCCTTCGTCGCGCCGCAACGTTCTCTCTCAATCGACAATGTATAATTTTGCGCTCTTAATACACAAATAGCTATTCTTGTTATATGATCGAAAAAAGTCAGAACGCGTTAGTGTTACCAACATAATTCTTTCGACATTAAATGTCAATGGTTGCTAGATGACTTCTTTTCTAAAAACAACTCTTGCTGTGACTAAAAAAATGCTTAGTTGGTTGCATGTCAGTTGCATGTTGACTCCAATTAAATTTTCAACAAACGTCAGACCAAAATGAGTGAAAATTTTCAGCTTTTAATCGGTAAAAATGCAGAGCGGGAGAGTCCTAACACGCAAGCCATAAACAACATGTACAACGAAGACGAATTTCCACCTTATTACGTAAACGGTCCCAATTCCGCTCAAGTTAACATGACATCTGCCATCTCACTTCTTTGCCGTTATTGCACTTCCTTGAGCAATGACCAGTACACCATTTACGCTCCAGAATGGTATCTAGAGAAAAACGAACTTGGTATACGTGTTGTAATACTCCTTCCAATTGTGTGCCCCATTATAGAATCCATCAAGGTAAGTTGTTTTCCTTACGATAAATTTCATTGTCAAGAATGTCGCAGGGTCCGTTCATGCGCAACAAGAAAAATGCCAAAAGGGGGGCAGCACTGGCGGCTTGTATAAAGTTGCATAAGATTGGCGAGTTGGATGATGATCTCTTACCCGTCAGAAGAGAATTCAACGAAGAAGACGTGTCGTATTTGTTTGAGCACTGGCCCAAAGAGAAAGAAGGCGATGCCGGTAATAAGAAGAAAAAACGGCTCCACGATAAAGAGGTATGTTGTCTTTAGGGTAATGTGTTACTACGAATATTTTTTGCTCTCATCTCAATCCACTTTATAACCGTATAACTCAAAAAACTCAGTGACAGTTCAAAAGTTGAAATTCTCGTTGTGAAAAATATGGTTGCGACTGAATTATACTCCATTAACCGAACAGAAGGAGTTGTAAAAATCCACGATCTTTTAAAACTAATAGGACCGTTTTCACACAGGGCAACAAAAAATTGTACCCGTTCTTACCGCGTAAGTCGACTACTTGTAAAGTTTTTGAAACATTATAAAATTTCGTTCCATTGTTCATATTGTTGTCTGGTTTTTGTATTATTAGAAATGATCAAAAAGTACTTTGATGATGCAAGGCATTTTTTTATACCTGTTAACAAAAAAATTAATGATTTTTGTTAATCAGTACTGTTGTATACGCAGTACCTTACAGTTGAATAGGTATAACAATTTTATAACATCTTATATACCGAGTGTTCCATTTTGTAATATCTCAGTTATTTGAAATGATAGAATTTAGAACGATTAATTAACACAAAAAAAAACATCAACTTTTTGTTCTCCATTAGAATCAGTTGTGTTTTTTTTTAATGCGCTAAAAATAGTGTGCTTGTTTTTATTTTTCCTTATACTTGAGAGGTATTTTTTTTTTCCAAATAGAATACAGTATCTTTTTTAAGAGTCAAATACATTTTTACTTCCCAAGCATAAGCTAAGGAAGCATAGTAATCGAGTCCATTGGACGAATTGCTACTTTTTTTTGTCGACGTTTCATGACCCGTACAGTACGAAAAAAGTAGTCTCCCGTTTCCGTCTGTCTGTCCAACATATGCCAACCAAAATATGATGAGTCTATACTTGTAATTTATCATTCCATTTATATTTTTTGGATTTGCTTATACGGGATGACTCAAAAAAATTAATGAATGCGTGTTATTTTTACTACTACACTGCACCAATCCAAGTTGATATACGTGTCCCTGCAAAAATGTTGATGACGTCATCACTAAATTGTGTAAAGAAAAAACTCAACTCGAAAATGCTGGATATGTTTCATCATACTTCAGGAGCGAGGGAAGTTCTGTCGAAACAACTTCTTTTGTGCTGTGACTAGTGTTATCCATGGTACAAGAAGACATGGTATGATACTGCGCATTTTGTGTGACGTCATGTGACTGTCATGACCGCCAAATTTAAATTCTGGCACGTCATCCCGACCGTTCCCCTGATTTCTATCCTAAATCTGACAGCTCGACGAGGAACCGCGCACTCCGCTTCCGTCTCGTGTTCCTGTGTTATTTACCTCAATTTCATTTAAATGTTCAATTTCTATTACTCTAATATTAAACTACAACTGAACGAGTGTCAAAGTTTCAAAAGAGCAATAAACAACATTTAAATTCGCCATACACTCTTGTGAAATTAGAAACAGCAAAGAGATTAATATTGAACATCAGACAATTTATATGATGGAAGCATTAATCAACAAAATATTTACAAAATAAAAAACTAGCACAGATTAAAAAAAAAACAAAAAGATCTGGTGTGAAGTAAAACTTGTGCAAATAAAAATATTACGTGCGGTTAGAAATTGCAGAGCATGAAAATTTACGTTCTTTATCTAAACAAATTCCTGATTATTAAATTGTGTTAGAACTAGTTAACGATTAAACTCCTAACCTGAACTGTGAATTTACAAACAATAAAACAAATTTACAGTCCCTGTCAGCGACGGTCGAAAATTCGCATTTTTCCGATTAGAAGGCTGCAAGAATTACCTACGCGTGTTGGGGAAACTGTGGCATTGTCGTCGTTACGATTAATTGTCGTTAAACAAAGGCTTCCTCCCTTTTATTAACTACTAAGCCATTAAACTTAACCTAGCTAACTCACCACGTGGTTTTCACTCACAACAACAAACCAAAAGTATGGTCTACCTCCCTACTAACCTGCCATCTTCTAACAACCCTCTAACTAAAATTCCAAGCAAAACCACCCACTACCCAAGAAGTGCCAACGTGCACATGGTTGCCTGTGTTTAACAATTTTTTTTATTGAACAAATTAATTGAAATTATTCAAATGTGATTTCGCGCCGCTGTTAATTTTTTTCAGCGCGAAATTTTAGTTCAAATTCGGTCACCACCATATTCAAGATATTTTGTTCCATTGTGGATTAATTAATCATTTTAGTCCTCTTTAGAGGAGACAACTCATTCAAATTAAACAAATTTCTACGTGACATTCTTTCGATGTATAAACATAAACAATGGAAGTTAAGCATGTACACATTTTTTTTTTTAAGAATGCTTTTAACTGTTTTTTTTTTTTTTTTTTTTTAATATACCATTGTTGTCGGTCTTTTTCAATCTTACTTTGGGTAATACAAGATTTTGATTGTGGCGCATGCTGTATCTACGCACTTCGGACAGTATTAGATGTGCAGAAATCTTTTTTGTACGCAAATTAATTTTTCAAACTACTTTCGTGTTTTCGACGTGTTCATCTGTCTGTTGTCTGTCGTCTGTGTCGATGTGTCAAAAGGGGGTGGTTTTTTAAATTTATTATTTAAATCGCAAACAATAACACAGGGAAACTAACTTAAATGAACTGGTCAACACGCTAGCACGAATGCGAATGAATATATGTAGTGGGCCCTAATCCAAACAGGTACCCTTACGCAGGTAAAAAAGTTCACTATGACAGAGAAAATAATGTGCTACTGTACTTGCAGTTTATGAGTCCACCTTGATTTTGTTTATTTACATTATTATTTTAAACGCTTAATGCTTCCTGTACTTTAAGTACCTAATAGGAAGTACAACAAGCGGATCTCGTTAAGTAGGTATTTGAGTCCCCACTCCCAGGGCATTTACAATTGATCTAAAATAAAAAATGGTTCACCCAATTTTCTCCAAAATGTAACAATACAGGAACGTCGCGCCCGTCTATGTTAATAATAATTAATTAATTAATTACTCTCTGTTTTGAAGAGACAAAATGAATTTCATTTTTTTTTAACACAAATGCATTATTTGGTCTACGATATATAGACAGCGGATTTCTGTCGGGCTACGTCACGATATAGGTGGGGACGCGCTGCATCGCCGGGACTCAGTAGCGGGTGATAGGTAATCACTGAATTTAATTGTCACTTGATTCCATAAATACAATTAACGATTTATTAATCAAACGGCTAAGTAAATGAGAACTGGAATTAACAGCAGAGTGCAACGAAGCAGCGTTATTCTAATCTCAAATAAACGAAGTGCAGCCGGTAACTGCAATAAATTCCCATCCCGTACGAGCCGTACCGAGTTTGGCCTTGTCTAGCCCGACAGAAATCCGCTCTCTAATCGATATACCACTGGAAAAATTAAAATATTCTATTTAAAAAGAGAAAATTATGTCGTTTCAAATTCCCATCTTTTCAGATATCCGGGATTAAAGTTCAAACCATACTTTATTAATTCGAGAAACTCGTGGTTTTTACTTCACGAGCGGAAGCTAAAGAAGTATTGTAATAGGCTCCATCGGGCGACTGCCTACTTTTATGTTTCCTCAACGTTTCATAACGCATAGAGTACGAAAAATTAGGTTGTCTGTTTCCGTCTGACTGTCGTCTGTTGACAGTTTTGTTAGACAATAATCTTCGAAACTTCTGGACTGATTGTTGTGAAATTTTAGCTTATTTTATGAATATCGTGTAAATGGTGAAAACGCTACCAAAAATTTTCCTTCGTCCCACCAAACATTTTCAAAATGTTGCTGTGTCAATCCTATTAAAATTAAAAAATATACTTGCGGGTTATAAAGCCGTCCTTAAATTCCACCTTAGATAGCTAGATTTTTGAAAAAACAGCAGTTTACAATTATTTTATTGAACAACTACAAAGTCGCTAATCAAAAGTCGATTGTGTAATATCTGTTATAAACTAAAATTTGATGGTTTAAGACTACTCATACAACTTAATTTAAAGTAATAATGCAATTATTAATTAAAGTTATATCTGTAGATTCTATGTTACATCCGTAATAAGTGTAAGGGTTGAATCGACAAATTTTCATTAGTGTTTGATTATCCTGATCACTTTAAGGCATATTAAAATGTTTAAGTAATCATCTCGGCTTGTAGTGTGTCACACGGGTATACATTTTTTGTTTCCTAAAATGTAATGTCAAGTAATTGCTTAAATAAAATTGTATGTGGGTACAAGAACACTACTCCAAGTTCGTTTACAATATACCAGTTATTATCTTCTAGATCTCGGAAAGTATTAAGGGCAAACTACAACCCGATCGACCACTCTATCTTCACGTGATCAAACTGAATCCAACGTATTCAAGGAGCGAAGACTTTAACCAAGCCACTATTTACGATCTCTACAAAACTTCGCTCTGTTTTGGAATCCTGTCACCGAAACCACTGCCAGAACTATGCAAATTTCCCGTGTTTGATTCGACAGGAACAATCGAGGTTGATATTAAAGCCAACGTAAAACAAATTGTTCTCACGAATAATGAATTAATGCAACTGCGAGAATTCCACTATTTAATTTTCAACGATCTCCTAGAGATTCTGAAAAACTTCTTGATTTTTGACAACAACGGAACAAACTCGGAAACGCTATTAGTTGTTCCCGTACAAGACGCCATAGACGTATTTATTGATTTCGACGTGGTGAGAGAACATAAGACACTCAAAAATAAACTCGAACATGCTTCATCAGAACGCATGAATCTTCAAGTTAACGAAGAAACGTACTTGCGTAAAATTGTTTCTCCGTGGTACCGGACCCAACCAACGGTAAGTAGTGATAATGACATAAAGCCGGCCGTTATTAATTTAATTTGTAGATGTACGTAGTGACTAGAGTTTGTATTGAGAAAAGCCCGAAAAGCCCGTTTCCTAATCAAGAATATAGCAATTTTGCTTCCTACTACGATGACAAGCACAGTTTGCGAATACTGAACGAAGATCAGCCGCTTCTTTTGGTCAAAGGTCTTTCTAAAAAACTCAATGTTTTTAAGCCCAGGGGACGAGAAGGAAAAAGAAAGAAAGAAAAACGGTACGAAGAACTAGAAGAATACTTGATTCCTGAATTCGTGATAAAGCAGGAGTTTCCGTCCTGTTTGTGGATCCAAGCTCGATTTTTACCGTCTATTTTATCCCGATTGGTTTATCTTCTGAGAATACGGCAACTGCAATTAACCATCGGGAGAGACATTGGCGTTAAACAAAAATATTTGGAGAATTGTCCGCCGATGCAAGTGGATATGCACCTTTTGAATTATTTTCCAGATGACGCACAACTGGCTGCAGAAAACGAAACTACTGCGTCGTCGATTGAAAGTAGTTATCTTCCTATAGAGCTCTCTTCTTCGTTAACTCAGCAGTACAATAAAGATTTCGCTAGTAAAATGCTGGAGTCCGATTATTCGTGGAAAAATCTAGAGGAGCCGAAAGACATAGAACGTGACATAAATGTAACCGTCATGGATATAGAGTACTACGAAACATTTATTTCTCAGAGAGCGTCCAAACAAACTAGACTTCTGAAAAATGACAGTCCTCTCAAAAACGTCCCTGCGATTACTTATAATAAGGAATTCGAAGAAAAGCACTTGAGCGTTCTGGAAATCCAGTTTGACAATCAGAGTCCAAATTTGTGTAGTCTGTATCAGGCTTTAACCGCAGCCGAAGCGAACGATATAGTTAATTTGGAACGTCTAGAAACACTAGGGGACTCATTTTTAAAAGTGATAGCTTCCTTGTATATTTTATTCAAGTTCCCGCATTACAACGAAGGGAAAGCGACAACACTCAAAGGCAAGATTGTAAGCAACCGAAATTTATTCTATCTAGCGGTGAAGAAAAACCTGGGAGGTATTTTAAAAAATAACGATTTCTCCCCCAACGACGAGTGGGTACCCCCATGTTTTTGTATTCCTCAAGCCCTGAACAACGACATCAAGAACAAAAGGTGTTCGATTAACTCGCTGTTCAAGTGTGACGTACTATCGGAAGAACAGACTTCAGGTGTTTTAAGTTTGAGCACCATTTCGAGGGAAGAGGTGACGAACGATGAAGAGAATTCCTACCCGAGCATGTGCAGCTTTTTGAACAAACAATACGTGAGTGATAAAACCCTAGCGGACTCAGTTGAAGCACTCCTGGGAGCGTATTTCTTAAACGGCGGCATTACAGGTTTGTTGTTCAAAATAAAAATTCTCGATTCGCTTAATCGAGTATTTTTGTTTCCAGGCGGCGTGAAATTCTTAGAGTGGATTGAAATATTGCCTTCGTCTGAAAACGTGCTCAATTTGATCCACACAACCGACATTAACCCAGTTGTCAACGCCAAAGCGACTTCGGAAAATATTCTTTTCCACATACCACAATGGCGCGAAATAGAAAAACGTTTAGGTTACAGGTTCAAAAATCATGCCTTCCTGTTGCAAGCTCTCACCCATTCTTCGTATTCGCCGAATCGAATAACGCAAAGCTACGAACGTTTGGAGTTTGTGGGGGATGCAATACTTGATTTCTTAATAACGTGTTATATTTACGAACACTGTGGTTATTTACACCCAGGAGAAGTGACTGATCTACGTTCCGCCCTAGTCAACAACAACACCTTTGCGAGCTTGGTTGTGAGATGCGGATTTCATAAGTTCCTGCTTATGATTAATTCTAAGTTACAAACGCACATTGATAAGTTCGCTGATTATCTCGCGAATAGGAATTACGTTATTGATGATGAAGTCCTGATTTTGTTGGAAGAGGAGGATTTAAAAATCGCCGAACATGTAGACGTGCCTAAAGTATGTAACAACGGAATTGTGACCAATAATTGTTGGTTTATTACAGGTTTTGGGTGATATTTTTGAAGCTTTGGCAGGTGCCGTTTATTTAGACAGCAACAGAGACTTGAAAACAGTGTGGAAAGTATTTTATCGCATTATGTGGAAAGAAATCGATCTCTTCAGTAAAAATGTACCAAAGAATATTATCAGGAGACTGTACGAGTGCCATACAGCGTATCCTCGATTTAGGTAAAGTTCATGTTTTCCCTAAGTTTTAAAAAACAATAATTTGATATTCATTTTTAGTAATGCTTTTGAAACCGATAACAAAAAGACGATGGTTTCGTTGCAATTTATGTGCGAAGGTAGAAAAAATTGTGTCCACGGATGTGGCACGAATAAGGCACTTGCGAAAAGGGCGGCTGCAAAAATTGCACTACGTGTGTTAAAAATGTAGTTATTTAATGATGATTTCATTAAACAACGAAACTAACAATACCAAAATGTTTTCAAAAATCGCTTCTACGTGCCGTCTTTCTTTCCGTGGTTTCCTTTTCATGCTAGTGGTATATGAACATTGTGTCTTTTAGAAAAACTTCAACCAGATAAGTGTTTGCGGTTTTTTTCATATTTCCAAATGATTATTCTGTTCCTATTAGAAAACAAAATTGCTATATTCTTGATTAGGAAGGTTCATGTTTCTGTATCGTCCTTTTAAATATTTTTTTCAAGATTTTGTTTCCGTACCTGCCATAACTGAAGCCAAATTTGAGACCTTGAAAATTTTTGGTATTACGTTTTGTCGTTTAATTTGTAGGGCAGATTTTTAATGGAAACAGTCTGCAGCAGTGTCATTAAGGCTGTTACAGATTTGTTGTTTAAGGGTGCGTTTAACGAGAATGTTACTTGATTTTTAACGTGTAGCATTAAGTGAATTAATAGAACCGTTTTTAATAGGTTATGTTAAGTGTTTATGTAAATTTAACATAATCAAAAGTCAATTTAAACTAAGCCACGTTTAAGAGCTACAAGTTTAACATCAAGAAATCAAATTTTTCGTTGAACGTTCTCTTGATCTATTTTAGTTATTTTTGTAACTTTAATAAAAATTTATAATTACTCTGTGTTGTTGTTCTGTCCTGTGCTACATATGGCATATAGGACGAGTGCGTTGTAAATTTTCGTTTGTTATTTAATACTTTGTTATAAAACATATCTTGAAATATTTGTTTTTGAGGATTGCATTGGTAATGATAGAATTTTAAGAGTACATACTTACTTTGCCAATCATGAATGCTTCCTGTCGTTGCTTTCATTTTGTGATGTGTTTATATGTTGACGTACTCTTAAGTTTCTATACGTTAAACTATCTATATTACGATTAAGACGTAGAAGACACTTATTTATATTTTTTTATACAGTAAAGTAAGTCAAGTATATTTACAAGTTAATAAATGTATTATTGCGTTTTCCTTTTTTTGAGTGAAGGCTTATCAAACACTTGCTTAACGCCGCCCGCCTGCGTCGAGTGGAATTTCAAATTCTGCGAAGTCTCGCTTGACCACGGAGAATCAAACTGTGTGGTATCCTGATCAACCAAGTGAGTATATTTGGTCCTACCCGAGCGTCCAAAATTCTTAACTTGCATGACTTTCGGTAAAATAGTCTTGTCAAAGTGATCCTCCAACGTAGCTTGCGCGAAATCTCTTTTGTACACGTCATCTTCCCTATCCAAGTAGAAGGCACCCCGGTGGAAGTACTTTTGCAAGAATTTGTACTTCCCTTTGACCGCTTTATTCGTGACTTGCTTCGGATTCAACCGCATCTCAATCCGTCTCTCTTCTTCCGTCATGTTACGCAACCGCTCGATTTCCAACCGTTCTCTCTCCAACGCTTCGCGTTCTTCTCGATCTCGCTTAATCCTCTTCAGTTCTCTCAATTTCCACGCCTCGTACTCAACTTCGTCGTTTTCGTCGTCAGTGCAAACATCGTTTATGTTCGGTTCATTGCTTTCTTTATCCTTCGCTTGTTGTTCTCTTCTGATCGTCTCTTCCACCATGCGCAGAGTCTGTCGCCGTCTTTCTTCCGCATTCCTTGCCGCTTCGATTTCCTGTTGTTTCTGTTTCTGCACTTCTTTCTCTTTTTCGATTATCGTTATCCTGTCCTTTTTTCGTACGAAAATCGGTTTTAACCTCGGCCCGGTTTCTTCTTCCGAGTCGGTGTATTCTTCATACTCTGACGACTCTTCAGAAGACTCCGACTTTTCTTCCTCTTTAAGCATGAACTCTTCTTCCTGCCTGTTCATCATTCGTTTCTTCATCATCTCTCTCTTTTTTTCGATTTCGCTGTCGCTAAGTTCGACTTCGGATTCATCTTCGTCGGGGGCGGCCTCTAGGGTGTGTTTCTGTTCGGGTAGGTTAATCTGCTCTTTGTCGGACTCTTCGTCGGAGGATTCTAAAACTTCGGGTTCTACGATGTGGCGTCTTCGTTCGGGCCTTATTTCTGTTTCGATCTCTGCGATTCGGAGACGTCGTAATCGTGGATCGTTCAACTCGTCGTCACTTTTTGACGGTTCCGGTGACGGTGGTTGATGGGGTTGATTGCGACGTTCCAAGAAATCTTCATCGTCGCTTTCGCTGTCGGATCGTACGTCTTGGGCATAATCGGGCTTTTTTCCAGAGACGTAGCGGTGCACTTTCACCTTTTGCATCGAAATTTCACCTGAAAAAAAAATATTTTGTATTTTTTCTCGCGTGGTTGCACTAATTTAAATAATTTTAGTAATAACTTAAGTTTTAACTTGATCAAAATGACACTTGTACAATTTCCAGCTTTCTTTTCACATATTAACCCCGACAAAATTTTAAAATTTAACTTTGAGCACATTTCTACAATGAAGCACCTCATCGGTATCGGAACAAAGGTTCGAATATGCTTCATCATTTAGCAACTTGCAAACTTTTTAAAATTCAAATTGTAAGATCAATATCAACAATTTGAAAACCATCCTAAGACCATTTGTTAACCATAATCATGCAATGTAAAGTTCAAAAAGCTCAGACTTCAGCTTTATGTCCACGACTTTAATGTGCCAATTTTTGAAACCCTTGCCCCCACTTTTTTCCAGAATCTCATTCTAGGAATAGTCAATTAAGCTTGTCTCGCTTTTCCCCATTTTGTGTTTTCGGTTTTGGTAATGTTCGAGGATAAAAATTAAAATTTAAATATTTACATGTTCGGAATGTTATTATGACATACTAACTTTCCACATATCTCTATACTTATTTTTATCGTTTTTTTAGTTGAGAGTGCAATCACACGAATCAGTACAAGAAAATTTAGCACAGGTGCCATTTCTACACTTAGGTTAAGAATGACCAAAGATGTTTTACCTTTTTCATTTCGAACAGGGACGGCACCTGCCGTACTCTGAATTCCATAAGACGATTGGATATTCATCATTTTCTTTCAAATGGTTAAATCTGGTGTTAATTCACTGCAAATGCTTGTTTTTTGTGTGGATATTTAGATCACAAACGTTGACAAACACGGTTGTCAAACAAACTGTCAAATTTCAGTGTCGTCACCACTGACATCTTGTGTAAACAAAATCACTAACGGACGTCTATTTTTAAACAGAAAGTTACACAAATTTTAAAATTCAGTTCAATTCGTAGTCCAGTTTTTAGCAATCGGTGCTATTTTTTAATTTATGCTCTTTTTTCTTTAAGACGTCGCCAATATCGCCAACATAAGACGTGCGCACGTTTTTCTCGTAACGTTGGCACCACGAGAAGTTTTACCGACACGAAATACTGCTGCGCTGATTTGCGCGCAGACGTATTCTAACTGTTTTTTAAATTATCATTTGAAATTGAATTGATGTGAAATAAAAGCTGGACCGAACCTAGTTCGTGGAACACACGACAATCGACGATGAAAGTAAATTCGTGGTCCAGCTAGAGGCCCCTAAAAATTTTAACATCAACATAAATTTTTTTGTCTTTCACCATACTTTCGCATATTTTGAGCCCATTCAGTTTTTGATACAAGTCTATGATACGATCTTAGAATAACTCATTGCAGTTAAAAGGTTCTAGTTATAAGTATTTACGTCCTGAAATAGACATAGACGGAATAATGGTGACTGCTGTAACACCCTTAAAGTAATATATACCTAGGTTTTACAATTTATTGCAAATGATTGACATCAAATAAATTCTGACAATGAGATAATTACGTACTAGTATATGATAACAGGAAAATTTAAAACGACTGTGAAAAAATATATGTTTGATTATTAGAGAATAAATTATAAATAAATTATTAATTAGTTAATTGTAATTAATAACGCTAAATGGAAAGGTGATTTAACCACATATATTTGGATCTGAATTAAAAAGTGCTAAACAGGTTGAAAAAATCATTTAGACAAAGGTGCAGTTTGTCATTTCTAAATATTTAACAATTAGTTACACTCCAGTGCACAATTTTGATTTAATTGTGATAAGTGAGATACAATCAATCATTTTCGGTATACGGAAGTTACACAAAGTTTGTAGTACCTTTATCAATGGTTCACGATCTTATAGTAATTGAAACTAAAAAAGAATTTATTTTTCAATACTGAGATAGCTGATAGTATCCAGAAATCCCTGTTTTACTATAAACATGTTTATTCTCTCTAAGAGCTTAAAGAACTAAACTGTGCAAACAAAAAATAAATGAATTAAATTCCGGATTACGAAAGTGGTGCTACTGAAAATACACGATCCGGTTCTGTATGTTGGAAGTGTATAAAGTTTACTTTCCAATTAAATAAACAGTGCGATAATTCCGAAACAATATTAGTTCCTATAAAAAGGTTTCAAAATAAAATAAACTTGCGGTTACAACATGCACACTCCAGTACACGGAATTTCTGGGAATTTTGTACTTCCTGAGTAGATGACTAAAGTATTTTTAAACTGAATAGTAATCTCACTCTCGTTGGCATTTTTTACCCAAATTTCCATATAAGGAGAACGACGCTGTGATGACGCACCTCCTCCCATTTGGGATAGGTAGCGCTAAAGAAAGTATATCATTATTGCAATGACTAATTAATGAAATCATCGTGTTATGCATAATTGTACAGAGTTCTCTTAAATATAGGTCACAATTTAAAAAAGTTGTTTTATAAGTAGCCCTTCTTTTGGTTCAACTGTTGTCTCACCATTTCATTTATCATTTAAACGACACTGCAATTTTCAGTGTATTTTTTTGTTAAGTAATTGGCGATTTTGCATTTTTTTTTATTTTTCAACAAAATGTCGGTTCTAACTCAAAATTTAAAAATAGTTTTCATCTATGGTGTGGGATTCCCAGAAACATCCCGCTTTGGTATTTGCCTTGGTGAAACTTCAGTCTAGATTATTGCGCACAGCGGATTCGAAAGTACCAAAAAAAAACCTTCAAATTTTAGCTAGAAATAAATCATTTTTCTGTTGTCTGAGTTGCATTTTCAATGATCTTTGAATATTTATGCAAATCTGACAAAAATATTGTATTATCAAACTTCTTTTTATAGTTTGTTATGTTATTATATTTACCTTTACTACACAACCGATTTTTTTTGTGAAAAAGTGAATGAGGTCTATAAGCGATCCTGCTCTGATACTGTTGATTAAGTGGACTTGGGCATCTAATAAGGGTTTTAAATATTTTTTTGCAGGATGTTAAAACATTATAAATAAAGTAATGTTTATTAATTATATTATTATTATTATTTTTAGTAAGTATGTTATTTTAGTTTTTATACATAAACAACTTCAATACTATTATTACATTAATTTTGAACACGAACAAGATGACGAAACGCCACTGAGTGGTGGTTATTCGCAACAGTGAAACCATAGAGGAAAGAATATAATAAAAAACTGGTCTAAAGTTGTTTCGACAGAACTTCCCTCGCACCGAAAGTACCAAGAAACATATCTAGCATTTTCGAGTTGACTTTTTAATTTACACAATTTTGTGATGACCTCATCAACATTTTTGCAATGACACGTATGTACTTAGATTAGTGGAGTGTAATACTTGCTGATAAGACTAATTGTGGCAAATTCCATAGAAAATAAAGGACGGGTGGGTGGGCGGAGCTAAAACTTGCTAACCTAGGACTGAACAATATTAAGAGTAGTCACTGGAACGAGAAGGGGTAGGTGAACGGGGCTACTGCTTGCTCATAAAACTAGAAAAAAGGTAAATTTAGCCTTTCTCCATTTCACTGACTTACTTTTTTAGTGTAAAAAGGAAATTGAAAAATAACAGTATTGTATTCCCAAAATTTTCTGGAAAAATGGAGTGAGCCGTTCCTGACTTAATCAATAAAATAAATTGACTCATTCATTAATTTTTTTGAGCCACCTGTTTTAGCAAATCAAAAAAATATGAATGCAATGACAAATCACAAGTAAAAACTCATCACATTTTGCACATTTTGGGTAGAATTTATTTCGGCAAAATTTTGAGATGACATCATCAATTTTTTAGGGGGAATAAACAGATTTTAATTAACAATTTACCGTTCAGTAAAATAAATTGATTTATTCATTTTTTTTTTTGTCACCCAATACAGGGTTATTCAGCTAAGATGACCCATTTGTGTTTTTAAAATAGGCAGCCCATTCCCAAATTTGAAAAATTTTTTGTAGTCCAGATTCAGGTGGAATCGGTATTTTGGATTGCCTATTTTAAAAACATAAATAGGTCATCTTAGCTGAATAACCCTGTATAAGCAAATCTAAAAAATATTAATGCAGTGATAAATCACAAATATAGATTCATGATATTTTGTACATTTAACAGGATATATTAGCTATATTTTGAAATAACGAGATCAATTTTTTAGGGGGGATGAGCAAATACATTTTCATCAAAAATTTACTATTCTCATGATAATTTTGAATCATCTCTAAAATTTCAAAGCATTCGGTTTTGTAGTTTCTAATTAAATCAATAAAATAAATTCAAGCATTCATTCATTTTTTTGAGTCGTCCTGTATAAGCAAATCCATAAAATGAAATGAAATGATAAATCACAAGTATACACTCATCATGTTTTGGACATTTTAGATAGAATTTATTCGGCAAAATTTTGAGTTAACGTCCTGAATTTTTTGGAAGGAATAAGCAAATATATTTTTATTAAAAATTTATCATGCTTAATTTTATATATTGTTATTTTATAGAATTTAAAATCCATTTACTACGTACGAATTTGAAGCGACATCACATTATTGGTGGTGATGATTAGACACATTTTGGTTAGCGTTCTACCATCCACATGATATTCGTAATATAAATACAAAATTTGACAACAATTGGCTCAGTACTTTTGGAGACCTGTCTAATAAAGTCCGGGACAGCAGACAGACGAACAGACGGACAGACAGTCAGACAGACGGAAGCGGGAGACCTATTTCTTCGTACTGTAGGGGTCATAAAAGGTCGACAAAACGAAAAAGTAGAGTCGGTCGACGGACTCGTTTACAATACTTTCTTCACTTACGCTCGGGAAGTAAAAATATATTCATTCGTCCATGGGCAAAACTAATCTTCGGGTAGTTTGAAAATTGCAACAAATGCAGTGGTTTTACTATTTTGACTCCTCCGCTGTTTCTATAATTAAGTACTGTTATTTAATTTTAATTTAAAATAATACAAAAACATTGACGAACAACAAATTACTTTCAATATAGGTATTATTTTCAAAACAGTGTAAATAACACAGTTTAGTGTGTTGGTACCGTCGTTTCCAAAAAATTTTGGGCAAATGATATTGACATGAAAGTCATATTCCCATTACTTTTTATTGATCTACGAGTATGCGAACCTGATTTGCTCATCTTGCCCGAATTTTTTTGACGACTGTAGTAGGAGAACACATTTTTTATGATATTATTTCCGACTTTTATTTCGCTCTATGCATCCCCACCATGTTACTGAAATTCATAGATCCAACAATAATTTAAAATTACATTTCATATTACTTCAACAGTTGAGGTGATGTCACCACATTGTTGGTGGGGATAAATAGAAAAATTTTGGTTAGCGTTTTACATATAACTAATGCCAGATATATGCCGTTTTACCATCTACATGATATTCCGAATAGACATACAAAATTTGACAGCAATCGGTCCGGTAGTTTAGAAAGTTATGTTTTTATTGGAAATGTGGACAGACCGCAGACAGTCATGAGACGTCGAGAAAACGTAAAAGCAGTCAGTCGCCCGATAGACCGTTTTACAATACTAAGCTCGGCAAGTAAAAATACAATAAAATGTACAATATTTTTCTTTTGTTCAGTTTACATGACAACAGAGTTCAAAGTACTACTGCGAGGAAGTTTTCAAACCTTGTTTATAGCGCATTTTTATATTATCTGGTTTTGTATTTTTCTGAAAAAACAATCAAGTTTTCAAAAGAATAGTATAAAACAAGTAGCCTCATTTAATAAACGAAAGTTGTTTTCATTTTCTGCGAACCCAAAACTGTTATACAGCCAAGTTTATGATGTTTCAAAACAAAGAGTTCACATTACGCATACTTTGGGCTAAATTAACCCTAATTCAAGCGATAAGTTTTGAAGTAATTTTAACAAATACCTTGTATTTCATAAAAACTCTTATCAGCAATAATATTTTAGATACTAATAAGACGTTTTGGAGTTTTTTCGTAAAAATTAGTCGTTCTATGATTTTTCTAGATTCTATAGCTGCGGAAATCAAACATATTGACTTCTATAATTTCACTGCTGTTTAAATAAGTTGTCAGTTTTACAGCAGGTATGTTATCATAAAATTTTAAAGATGTTGCCAACCTGACAAAACAAATCACAAACATTAATAGTCACTTGGTTTTTAATAATGGAAAAATGAATTTCATTAAAACAAAAAGTAATAAATTATAAATTTACTTGAATGCCTATTTGAATTACTCAATCTATATTTGTAGTAGAAGTAAACAAAGACTGAGACTTATATACAAGCGTTTATCCACCAGACGTTTAGTCGAGTAACTGATGATTTCAGAGTAGATAAAATTTCGTTCTCTGAAAACAAATTTGCTGCTATCCTTGTTTTGGTTTGAAAACATCTCTATATCAAATAATGAAACTACTCCTTAGAACATACAATTTTGTTGTATGTTAGTGTGCCTACGTCAATAGTTTTTAAACTTATTATACCTAGTTATTAGAAAAATCTAGACTATAATTGCTAGTTGAATCACATTTCTAATAACACCGTCGTTCCTTTGAAAATCGTATATTTGTGAGTTAAAGTGGACTCTAAAAGTAAGTATTGGAACAATATATGTAGTTTTGTACGCTTACTTAAAAAACTAATTTTTTATACGTTGTCAATTTCAAATTTCTAAAGGCAGGTCGACTTCAGTGCGTCTGCGCGCTGCAAATACTTCCAGCATTTCGTGTCGGTAGGGACCACCTGTTGATGCTGAATAAAGTTAAATCTACGGAACGCAAGCGTGGAAGAAGACGCGGCGAAGCTCTGTTGTTAAATTTTTACGTGATAGTGACAAATTTGAAACGTTATGAACTAAAAGTCAAATCTCAAGTGTGTTGATTGTGATCTTGTCAAACTGTGTTTATGTGATAAATTCAAGTATTTGTTTGGGATTATAAACGGCAGCGCAACTTCGTCCTAAAAGGTAAGTCTTCTTGAGATCTGCTTAAGAAAAACGCCATAATTTTCGCTTATACCACACAAACCGGTAACAACAAATGTGGATTTACCGTTCCGGCAAACGTTTGATGAACTGTCCCATGCCTGCTGTCCGGTATTCCGCATGTGTTGGCACGAAGACTCATCGGTCTGGTTTTTCGCATAAAAATGAAATAAATGCGGTTTAGTTTACGTAATTGAAGTCAATGCCGGAATTGTTATTGTCAAGTGCGGATAAAAACAGCAAGAATCAAGATACCTAGGCGCGGCAAATTCTTGTTTCTTGTATGTCAGCACGATCAAGGAGTCTGTGTCGAGTCTGACGTTTCTAACGTTTAGGTAGGGCACTTCAGGATTCCTGGGTACAGCACGCTGCGATGCTATTATGCAAAGTATACCAACAATCAAGGACATTGTCTATGAGCCTGCCGAATACCTAAAGAGTTATTTATCTTTTGCTTTGCAGACGATGACGTCAAGATGTGTGTATGAATGGGTCAACGACATCCGGAATGCCCTGCTTTTTCTTCGACGATTTATTATTTTCATTGATGTACAGTTGTTTGGGTTCCGGTAAAGCGATGATGTTTTTTTTTTGACATTGCACACCTTGAACCTCATTTTGCAGAGATTAGTGTTGGCACAGGTTCTGGGTGTCAAAGGTCTGTCTTTTATTGAAGACATGTTTGGAATTAATTTAAATTTATTATTGTCGCGGACTCGAACATGTTCTAAATCTGGTGAACATGTCAAGAGAGTTAATTCTGAGATAAATGTCGAAAACAAGTCAAATAGACAATAAATAAGAAAAAATTGCCACTAACCTTGCTACATTTTGCAAACATCAGTGTTATTTTGAATTGGGAACGATACATAGTTTTAACACTACAAAATTAAATAGTATCTATAGAACAGAATGGAAATATGATATGAACTTTTACAGTAGGTTGTTTTCATTAACAAAGATTCATTTTTCATTGCATTATTGTCAACGTCGCAATTTTTACACATTGTTATCGTTGGTTAGACATAAAGAATATGTCTCATTCTTGTTTTGAATTTTTAATTGAACACCTACATATTTTTTACACAATTGAATTCCTTCGATACTAGAATTTAAATTTCTAATAATTGTATGATACTTTAAAATTATCTCTAACTTTATGCTAATAAATATAGCAATAAAAACCAAAAGAAAAAGTTAAAAAATGTTTTGAAACACATCAGTTCCTTTTAAAAGAAGTGTTTCAAGTACCTAAATCAGCATTCTGTGGATATTAATGATCTCCGATAAAAATATATTTTTCTTTGTTAATGATTTATGGATGTGGTACTTATTTGCAAACCGCAATCTTAATGAACATTTTGTATTCTGAATTTAAATCTCGGGAACGTGTAGATTGTTGGATTGTTGCATTTAAATTTATGAAATAGAATGTCAAAAAATTAAAAATTTTGAAATGTCATACAAACTTTCATTTAAGTAATGAATTTTAGGAAAATGGCAATGACACCGGACAGATTATACTAATGTTTGTGCAATTTATCATTTCAATAAGCAGTTTAGTGTAATATGTGTATATTTAGGTGCAAAGTAGCAGAATTAAACAAACAGAAAAAGATATGTACGATTTTTACGCACATTTTGACGTTCTTCGGGCTTGACTATGAATTTTAAAACAAGCTGCTGTTTCTTATGTCATTAGTTCATTACTGGTGAAAGCTACTGTCTTTTACTGGAGCGACAGACGGACATTATTTTGAACAAATATTTTAATTACGTTGTTAATGAACTAAAAATTAGAAATGATGTAGATTAATTAAAAACTGTTTTTAACTCTATACTGGAGGTTGATGTAGAGCCAGTCCATGTCTAAAGTGTTAGAATAGTGGTATACTGTTGAAATGTTTCCAATGTGACCAATACACACTGACTTTGAGGTTAATTTCAGGGAGTTACTTTTAAAATCACTGTCACAAAATATAATGTGATTTTAGATTATTTATAACAGATAAATTAGAAAGTGGAGCATTGTTGGTTTCGACCTTAAAATAGACGTCCACAGTCACTAATCAGATCTACTAATTTTTGTTATGGAGCTTAAATTCAGGACAAAACTGGTAGCGACATTTAGGAGCTAAATCGTTAACGTAGAGTAGCTTATGTTGCTTTTACATTTGCTTATGTTTAGTAAAAATATCTATTCAAATAGAACTTACTCAATTGAATCGAAGTTTTAAAAAAATAATGGTCTGCAAAAATCTACTTCCCAGAAAGAAAATAAATCTAAGGTAATTTGGACAGAATTCGCCTTGCCCTTAAAGTACAGTCGATTAAATACACTTTCTTCGAAAAATTGTAAAATTTAAATAAGGATATGTCTGGGTTGCGGACAATATATTTACTAATGGGAAAACTGTGTTCTTGGCACGTGCTTACCTTCGACTGTTTATGTTTATCTATACTTCGAAAGAATTTGACATCAGCGTCATCAGATCAAAGTATGCATTTGGGTAAAGGAAAATGAAATTTGATTGATTTTGCCTTCTTAAAACAAAGGAGAGGACTTATTAATTCAGTTACAATAGAGGGAATGGTCCAAACATTATTTTGGGCGATAGCTGCCATTATCATAATATTTATCTTATTATTATTAAATATAGGCAGGTGCAACATTTGTGTATTCTTAGATTTTCGAGAAAATGGTTCTTTATTTGAACAATAAAATGCCGGGGGATCGGGATCGGCACGAACTTCATATTGTGTATCTGAAATAGAAGAAGAATTAAACTATAAAAATAATAAACAAATCAGGTGGATTCATGACCCACAAGTAGAGGTGTACATTATTTAATAAAATTCAAATATTCTTTACTACGCAAACTGTTGAGTTGACGATGACGTGATAGAATTGTTGATCGGAATGAATATACAAACACAAACGGCAGACAGACGAAAACGGGAGATCTATTGCTTCGTACTCTTGGGGCCATGAAACGTCGAGGAAGCGTTAAGGTAGTCCTTTGTCAAATGGGCTTTATTATAACACTTCCTTAGCTTACGCTCTGGAAGTAAAAACATTTTTTTTTCTCGCCTTTATTTTTATTATATTTATTTGAAATTTAAGCAGACATAAATGGTTCAGTTATTAAGCATCCATGTCAGCGCAAAGCTTTTTTTCTTATAATTCTTATTAAGATATTTAAATAAAGTCCGGATTATTTCTATCTGTCCACTCCCTAGTATAAATTTTGGAAAATTGCTGGGTGTAAGGTGTTTTTTTGGACTTCGGGGGAAAAAAATTGGTGGAAAACTAGGGGTTAATAGTATATTATTAGCCAAGGTTGCAGAGCCAAGCATTCTAGACCGAGCGCAAATTAGAACCCGAGACGCGCAGCGTCGAGGGCTCTGAAGCGCGAGGTCTAGAAGTGGCTTTGCAACCGTGGTTAATATACTATTTTTTTCACTAGTAGAAACCATAAGACAATAAATTGAAAAAATAAACGTTCAATTTTTTGACGCAACATGATTTTGTTTTGATTTCTAATCAAACTTAATCTAAATCTTCAACACGAAGAAAACCGTTTATACTTGTCGCTGAGTTAATCATTTTATCTTCTACCGTCTACCAACTACCATGCGTATACTCAAGTAATGTTTGTAGCACACATTTGTTCATTTTTTAAGAAATAATCACATCAAACATTGCGTACATAACCTCAATTTTTCTTTTTGAACCGGTGGTCGCAAAAGTTGAATTTGCTACCTCTAAATGAGTCGACATTTGCATGCTTAATGATTGCTAGTGAAAAAAAATATAAAACGTTGTCAATGTCATTCTAATGCAAAGAACTTGGATGTAATCAATTTTTGTATTTTTTCCAGTAAACTCAAAGCTTAATTAATTTAATTTAATCTCGTCGCTGTCAAATGTAATGAACAAAAATCCAAGAAGTGCAGTATAACCAACCTCACTTTTTATCATGTGTACAGATAGATATACTGCATATATTTTTGTAATTATTGTTTGTAGTTGTTTTCTTGTTTTGAGGCAATTCTTAGCCATCACAGAAACTAAAAATTAAACCAACAACGTATATTGAGAGCTAGTAGTCCAACTAGTCACCCTTTTTCCACCAATTTTAAGAAAACGGCATTTCAAAGCTGTAGTTCCTTCCTTTTGGAATAGACGGCGCTGTAGAGAAAAGTAAAAATTACTAATATCTATTAATTAACAAAATTAATTAACATCTTATAAAAGCGACTTTTTTATTACAAATAAAAAATGTTTTAAAAGGTCACATTCTGGGTACATAAATAGTTTATTTCGGTTCATACTAAAACGGAAACCCGAAATGTTAACAGCGTCAACATGTTTGTGCATAAATCTAAATTTTTTGAAGTTGTCACAGCATCGTGGTTATCCTGAAGATGGTTTTTCCGTTGTGTAACATTTGGAACAACGTGGGGTTAATATGTTGGCCAAAGTTTGCCATTGAGACGAATGTGACGTTTGCATAACCAAAATGACTTTAACTAGTGTAAACTTGGGGGTATTTAATTTATTGACAGCAGAAATTTTAACTTACGTAATTTTTGTGTTTTAATCAAATATGTATTATATATAGAATAATAGCTACTCCGCATCAGAACCTAAATAAACATAACTTTAATTTAACGTCATAGAAAGAAATCAAACAATTTTGAAATTAAATTTTTAGTTCTAAAATTGGCTTACGGTGTTATACAATCATTTATGTTTGTGAAAATACCAAAAGTCTACATTTATTAGGGTCATTTCATGAACATATAATTTATCTAATTTTTAGGTAATTTCTTCTATGTCCAGTAAACCTTACATTTTTTAAGTATTTCGCCAACCACATTGGCATTGTCGAAAATGTCAAAAGTGCCAAAATCAGTCTTATCTTATCAGATACTAGCCCCGCCCACCCACCTTCTATTTTCTTAGAGGGTATGTCATT